CATTCGGTGGTTTGACTTGTGAAAATGTTATTTATATAAAATATAAGCTCCGTCTTTTTGAATGCCTCGTTTACTCTGCAGTGTGTTGAAAATCAGCATATGCATATCAGGAATATTCGTGCTTTGAGTGTTCTTAAATATTCGCAAATAGAAGGACAAACTCCAGTACATTCAAGATGATAATTAGTAATGACATATTGAATGGTGATAAAGTTGATTTAACTCATAGTGCACTGTGAGCCGTCAATGTACCTGAACTCAATAGCAAAGAGATCCATTAAGATGGTACAAAACTTTCAAAATACCCAGCAAGGCAATCAAATTCCGGTAGGTCAATGTGGCCTGCCGGTTGCAAGGCAATCAGGTTCCGGTAGGTTAATGTGGCCTGCCGGTTGCAAGGCAATCAGGTTCCGGTAGGTCAATGTGGCCGGCCGGTTGCAAGGCAATCAGGTTCCGGTAGGTCAATGTGGCCGGCCGGTTGCAAGGCAATCAGGTTCCGGTAGGTCAATGTGGCCGGCCGGTTGCAATTCCACCAGGTGGTCACAAGGGCTCAGCAGAATCAAGCTATTGTCTATAACCGTACATATATTTTAACGACAATATAATACGGAGTTTACAGCATTTTTAAAAACTAAAAAGTCCATTTTTTGATAAAATTGTCTCAACTCTAGGGATAATACTGTTTCTCATCTGTCCCTGGTTGTCAAATCTGGTTTCCCTTTACAAAATTCAACCACACACCACGTATTATTGTGGTTTGAAAGACCTTTAATTTACAGACGCTATTTAAATTTACAAATGGCACGTGTTGGAATTATCACGTTTGCTTATTTCCAAGACACGTTTCTCTGTTATTTGTAATGTAACGAATGCAAAAACTAATTGAACCTTTTAAACGACTTGATGGCATCCTCACAAAAGGCACGTGTTTAAATTATCACGTTTCTTCTCTCTATAACACAACTCTTTATGACTTAACTGTAACTCTATCACGAAAACTAATTTGCGGGAATAAGTTCAACTGTTGGGGTGACGCCCAACCATTATAACTGCAAATGGCGCGCAGTGGATCTATCACGCTTTCTCTCTTCTAGGACACAATTTGTTAGCTATGTAATGCTAAACTCTGGCGTGAAAAACGATGTTTCATTTTTTACCTTTTATCTAAACTGTTTGAAGCTATTAATCACGTTGCTCTCTTTTTTCTTTCACCCACATCACCACGTGCGAAATTCAACATGCCCACGTGTGGCTCTACATGATTTTTCATCACTAGAGAAAAGTAAGAAACGCTGTTCCAAAGGCGACCGAAAAAGAATTCCTGCAATTTCCAGGCACTGGAATATCTAGAGTTATTCGAAAGTGAGGAGAGATTCATCTGTGGCATAGGCTACGGCGGCCTGGACAGGGTCCATTACAACAGCACGTGGCAACAGCAGTGGTGCGGGGTTGTTAGGTGGAAACACTGTAAAAAGTGGACGGAGAAAAGGAAAGTTAAATGGACTATTTAAAAATATGTTGGCAGTAATTCAAACCTAAATATACTAGTACACACTTTACCCCAAGAAAGAAACATCAGATATTAGTCATGAACGATCAGGACAAAATACCATAAACATTATTGCCAGACAAAGCCAGACACCAACTGATTTACATATAATAACCATAAAATAATTGAAAGTAAAGACCCAGATTCAGCAATTTATTGAAACTTTAATTTTTTGTCGAAAGACTAACAAAAAAAACTAATAAATAGATAAAAAAGGATGAATTAAGAAATGGGATAAGAAATAAAAAAACCCAGCTACATTCCAAAATGGCGAATTTTTTATCATAGAAGAGATGCCCTCTATCTCAAATGAAAAAGTCAAATTCAGGGTCATCACCGGCCTTTGCTTTGTCTTATTCCACCAGTGCAATTATTTCAGCGTAGAGGAATTTCGCAGAGCAGGCTGTTTGTTTCGCTGTTATTACAATCAAGCCATATTCCTACAGCCTTGTTTCTATTCCACGTGGCGTTGAGACACATGAAAGGTGCTCGTCTATATGGTCTTCCTTCCATCCAGTAAGTAGGACCGCTTATGGTGCTATTGGAACCTGCCCAGTACTTCTCGAGGCCGTTACCAGGGATCTTCCATTTCCCTCCCGCCCATACAAGACTGAGGTCCGACGCTATGAGGCATTCCGCAAATTATACTGTAAATACTAGACGGTCGTTTCCTTAACTGTCAATATACGGTTAAAATGTATCTTAATTATGTTGTTGTATCAGGTGATAAAATAATACATGCATGGCATTAATTGTGAGATATACTTGCCATTCCTAGTCAGTATGCCTTCAACCACAGTCTGTTCCGCTGCGGTGTTAATTTCAACCAAATAGCCGCCATATTGCTTGCACATCCTTTGGGCTGCGTCCCAAGTCATCAACTGCCTATTAAGCAGGTAGCAGCTGTTCCCAAAACGTACAAAGTCCTTGTGAGGACACCCAGAGATTCCTGGCATAAAAAACAACATGCAAACAGAACAAGTAATAACGAGAGAGAGAGAGAGAGAGAGAGAGAGAGAGCACATGATAACCTGAAGTAAGGAAGCAACACCGTGCATTTCAAACCAAACAGTGGAGTTAGTGTTCACTTTGTGCTGTAAAAACGCACACTTTGATAAGAAATTGTTACCTTCTACCGGGGTCGCAAATTATTATCATGTGCATTTTTTTCCAACGCACGGTGCAAAAAGAAAGTACCATCATTTAATTAGAAACATATCTGTGTATCTAGTGCGAATCAATCTGTGGCCCTGGTAGAGGGTAAGAAATTGTAATCCAACCTGCGCTTTTCAGCATACACATAAATCTTAAATACGGCGCATACAGGAAACGTTAGAGTGAAATGGTAGGTTTAAACAAGGAAATTGGCAATATTACTGTACTAAGCACTGAAAAGAGAAGATGTGGGGCTTGTTTCTAAAATTTTTTTTCTAAAATTCCTAACTCATTTACCCCACAAGAATATACCGTCATTTTGTAAAATTACCAAAAATAGTACGAATATCAACCTGTTGTCGAAACCAAAGTGGTCGTAGATGTGGTAGAAGTGGTCGTTATAATAGGGACGTGGTCGTAGTAGTTCTAATGGTTGGAATCCCGGGAGTGGTCTTTACCAGACTAACGCTTTTGCATTCCAAAACCTCTTTCTTCAAAAATGCCAGTGTATCTTGCGCCAAACCAATTTCTAGCTTCAAGTCGAATACGGCTGTAGAACGACGACCTATAATAGGAACCTTTCCAAACATATGGCTGTACATCTTATGACAGCCTTCGGCTTCCAGTTTCTGCATCAAGTTTTGGATCTGGAAATGCAGGACCCGAAGATAGATATACTTTCCAGAGTCGCTATTCGTCATCTGGGCGCGAACAGTCTTTTCAAACAATACGCAGACCAAGAACGAGAACAAAATACATAATACATGTACGGCTTTCCCCATTGTGCATGTATTTTGTGGCCTATTGGCACTTTTATGTCAAGGCCGCCCCACGTTAAGCAAGACGCGTACGTGTAACTGAACGGCTGTAGATACATATGTTAGAAACTCAAATTATTCACTAATCTACAGTACTCACCGACCTAAAATTTTGCGTTATCAAACTGTCATATTTCTCATCGCCACAACCACCGCCACTGAAATAGGATGCCTTCAATAGATAAAGGCCGCTTGTTTCGGCATCGGATCGCATTACCTCCGTTTCAAGTGACCAGGTAAATTATGCAAACTAAAAACGGCACTGTGGCGACGTTAAGGGCCTAGGTTATATTTGCCACGGACGCGCGTTTTTAATCGCAATGCCCCTATTCCAAGAGTTCTTAGTTTAATCCTGACAAATTTTATGCCTCTTAAACTCGCCAAAGGTGGAAGGGAAAAAGACCAACCATAATCACGATCACCCCAAGTTCACCGAACAACGCCCGGACTTGAAAACTATGCAATGCCATCTACGATAATGCTACAACCTCAAGATCTTTAAAATTCGTCAAAAGTTTTAGCTTGCCAAAGGCGCAGAGGCTTCGGAGACCGTGCGATTTCGTACGATTTCGCAAGGTCACCGCCTGCCTCCGTACAGACGCCGCACGAAGAGGGAAGTACGGGCAGAATACACGGCGTACGGACATCACACGGCATATGTAATTTGGGCTTTAGTTGACGAGGAATCCGTGAAAAGAACTGCATCATGGACGTCCAATTACGGCCTAAGCAAGCACTGCTAAGGGTAAACCATAATAACAATAATCGGTATTCTCCATCAAACTTATCTCTTGTTGGCTGAGGTAAAATCCCCCTTATTCATTCATTCATTCACCCCAAACGTTGTAACTACTGACTTTTTAGACCACTTTCTTGAATTACGTGGTATCCACCAAAAACCATTACCGTGTTTCGCATGTCACAAGTCTCCAAGCGTGACACTGAATTATAAGTGTTTTGCGTTTCCATACAAAAACGTTTAAAGGGATAATAGCTGTTCGTTTTGGCCAAAAAAATTAATTTTCCTGGAGTACACAACAGTTTTGCCATACTTACCAATGGTTATTGAATCTATTTCTACATTCAGAGTTAGTCCCTGGTTTTTTCTAAGTATTTTTTTTGTTATAATCTCTTAAGAGATTATTAGAGTATAGCCATCTGTGGAGGTCACGTGGTCCGATGACAAGCTCAGATATTGGGTGATATTGAGTTGTTTACAATGTTTTATTGTGTAATATAGATCTCATACGAAGAGTTATTATTCCTTTAAGCTTTGGCATATTCAATTTAAATGTTTATCACTCTCAAAACTATATTTTCTTAAATTAAAATTAAGAAAATATTGTCTCCGAGTCCTTCATACTGTTATCTTTACAAATCAAGCACTCAAACCAGCGGTCTGTGATAGAATATTTATCTCTGCAACAATCAAACAGCAACCGTGGATCACCAAACCATGAACGCAACCCGCTTTACAGTTCATTCTACATGTGTATTTTTATTATTCAGAGATCTCAGAATGTATGTTGTCTAACCCCACGAAACCGTAGGTAAATAATAACTATCAATATGTAAATGGTAAATCATCGTCCTAAGAAGGAATAGCATCCATATATAAAGCATCAACTTAAAATCGAATTCTATTTTGTATAATTATACATCTGATTGCATAGTATAACATGATCCGGAATAGACATAAAATGGTGACCTATTCTTAAGTTAAAATCTGCAAAAAGTGATCTTATTGCAACCTTCCTCATCAGCTGTGTAATACGCAAATGTAAATAACCAAAGTATAAATTGACTGTCATTTTACATAACTACCTTGACTGCAGCATTTTGTCCTACAGGATTGAGACCCCCGTCACATCTCAGCTACGGTCCTACTTAAAGGTACACAATTGAAGTTGGACCTTCATACAGCCAAATGTTTCATTTTCCTAGAAATTTCGACACAAGTGTTTATACATATATATAAACGTCTGACGCGCATTGCAAGCCCTAAACAGCAGCTTAAGCGATCAAAAAATTTTGCGGACCTTTAACAGTCATGGGCGAACCGTAATAAGTACATAAGACTTCCCAGTACAAACTAAATGACGTATGAAACTGGCTATTGCTTACTTAGTAAGTTGGTTTTGCTGTTGCTCGTAAAATGCCCACGGCATTTTCTAAATAAGAACTTTGGCTCAATTTATTTTAAATAAGACTGGCTTTTCATTATGAGCTAAATTATATAAACTATTACCTTTATTTGCAAATAATGCCATTTCTTCCCAGAGTTAGTGCTGCTGCAAGTTTCCAATCTGATTGCTTAATACTTTTTTTCGCTCTTTTAACATAATATGGTACAATTATAGCCAATGAACTGAAATACAGTCAAATATAACATTCGAAAATGGAATGTAGAGTAAGACAAACTGCTTCATTTCTACACTGATAATATTTATGTAACCTTCTCGGCTGCTCACACCTTACAGCACTGAATCAACATAATCGCCAACTTTCACTAGCACAACTCGGCAAGATTTCCTTCTTGTATGTCAAGTTTCATGGGTTCATATTTTTCAAATCTTATGTAATATGAACAACCAAATTCAGCGGTTTTCTATAGCCCCATGCCCCCCTTTCTCTGTAATTGTTTAGAGTGTTACTTCCGCCATATATATGGTAATTTCCCATATATGGTAATTTGAACAGGAGAACGGCAACTATAAAATCATTTGCCGTACACGTGTTGTACAACGTTAGAGGCCGGTAGTGCTACATGACTGCAACGTTATCACCTTTTTTCCGCTACCACACATCCTCTTTGGTTGTTCAATTGGTAACTATGCAGTTACAGCAAAATACCTTTTTATATGTACAATTGGAATACGATCAATATTTTTAACCAGCAAACACGCTTAAGAATCAGTTAGCTATAACAGTTTCTTACATTCTTGTTACATGAAAATAACTTCACTGTACGTCTCTAATTTAAGTATGTATCTAAACATTTAATCTCACTATTAATACTGTAGTAATTAGTCTAACCAAGCAAGATAAGAACTGATGGAAAAGCATTAACCTACAAGTACGATGCTCCAATGACTTTATGTCTCAGGTTGCATGTCTCCTGAAAACTAATCCTGTTCAAGCTATTATGGTAGTACTTATAAGCTCATTAAACGTAATTGAAAGAAGGTAGCCATATTATTTGTTATTGAAATTCAAAATCTCTTCCTGATCAGATACACTTTGCAATTGACTTAATACTGTAGATTGATTTAGGAAGAGCCAGGCAATCAATCAGTGTTTTAATGAAAGCACATGTAGAACGCCTTTCTTATGCCAATATGAATTTCATCTGCTGCGCTAATATTACCTTCTTGGTTGCAAAGCAGAAAACATACTACACAACCAACGCCCCCCCCCCCTAAAAAAAAAAGGATACTTGCAGAACCAATTTACCAAAAATAAAACTTATGAAGTAATTGACTAGAGTGTTACATTTATTGTTTCCACATGCTTTGTGGTGCAGTAAGGCAGTTAACTAAGCCACTGAGCCAGAAGAACTGATCTAATAGAGTTTCTTCACTATGAATAGAATGTTGCATTTGTATTTGCCTGACTTGATAGGCAAAGCAGTAACTTTAGCTATAATAAACTGAGCTGAAAACACGGACAGTTTCTGCAGGCTTTTTGTTATAGCTCTTCTTTCTTAGGTTTTTTCTCTTGCTTTGGAGCTTCTTTTTTAGGTGGTTCCTGTTTTTTATCACCTTCCTGTGGATCTGGTTTCTTTTCTTCTTTCTTTGGAGGCTCCTGCTTTTGTTGTTCTTGTTTGCTTGCATCTGATGCCGTGGATTTCTCACTATTTAAGAAATCAGTAAAGTCCTGTTTGGATCTACCCCCTTGGTACTTCTTGACAAACTCTCCTCTGGAATAGTAGCGGAATGTTGGGTATCCAGTGACCCCCTCCTTAGAGCACAGTTCTACAAATGACAAAAAAAAGAAGAAAAATAAATAAAAATGTTTAATGCTTGTTAGACTACATATAACCAGTGCATCATAGAAAGAATATAATGACATGGTCATAAATGAACCTTGAATGAACAAAAAAATTTTAAATTGGCATTTAAGCGCAAATCTTTTTTTTTATCAAATTAAAAATTTATGGTGTAAATCATTTGAACATACAGGTACGAAATATGAAACAGCACAAATTGAAACCTTCAAATTTTAGAAACTTTTTAGATTAAAAACGTTTACAGAAATAAAAACACACTGGAACCACCAAAATTAATTAAATTACAAACACAACAATTATATCTACAATCATGCACATGTATAACATCACTAATTCTTCAGAGACATCTCCAGAGAAAACACTAATATCCTGATCAAATCCACGCATACTACCACAAAACAAAGAAGTCAGCCCCATTGTGGATTGACCAAGCAATGTGTGGAGGACAGATATAATTAATCAAGGGCAATTAATTCAGATTAAACAGCAAGAAGACAAAATACAAACCAGAAGCGGCAGTACAGTCCACAGCAGCCAGGAACTGTGTGGTGGACCCCTGAAGTGAGTTTGCTGCCTCCTCAAACTCTGGCTTGGCTCTCTTGCAGTGCCCACACCAGGGGGCGTAAAACATGACGAGCACCTGCTCCATGTCAGATATAGAGGGCGTGAAGGTAGCCTGGGTCAGATGTCTGATGTTGGAGGGAGTGTCGCTCCACTGTGCCTCTGGTTTGGGGGGCTCGGGTTTCTTTTCTTCTGGGCTAGGGGAGAAAACAGTTAAATTAGTCACATTCAAGGAATTCATTAAAATTTTTAAATGAAAAGGCAGTATTTAAAAACAGAATTATTTTTATGTGTGGGAATGGTTGACTGACCTATTGATAAATGTATCAATGATAACAGAAATTTCTTTTAATAGCTTGAATATATCCCCCAATGATTTTGTCTATTTTCATAAATTGCAGTTATTAACTTCTCAAAATGCCTTAAATTTATGCATTAAAAGATCATTCAAGGTAATTGCTCTTAATTTCAAATAATTTTCACACAAACCACATTACACAAAATACTTACTTTGTCATAAATGAAACAAGGTCACTTGTTGATCTGCCTCTGTTGTATTCAAAAGCCACTTCTCCGTTTCTGAAAAAAAATATGTATTATGATCATCACAGCAGTCAACTGAGGAACAGCACAATAGCATCTCAACTAATGCATTTTGTTTGCTCTGTAACTGTTACCTTTTTTCTTTTATTAGAATTACAAAAATTATTCCACCATCTTCACAAGGACTTCTGATGGTCACTCAGATCAATGATAAGAAAAGTCCCTGTGTTGTGAAAGCAACATCCAGACATAAGTCACATTTTTATAAAATCTGTGGTGTTAACTCATAACTGTGGTAATAAACCTGGTAACATATAAAGTCTCAGGAAGAAAAGTTGAATAAAATCAAAGAAATCCACAAAAAATTATTCCAGGGAATAAGCTTGTGCCTGAACATTACTTTCCATAGAAATGTTTCAAATCATATGCTTAAAATGCCAAATAGTGAAGAAGTAAAAATTACAAAAAAAAAAAAAAAATCTTTACTTTGAGGAAAACAATTCAGAATCCAGTAAAAGAATAAAAATGAAAAGATTGTTAATGCTGTTGAATGAATTTTCAGTTGTCCACAGAATTGTCCAAGAATTAAAGAATTAAATTTCTACAAGTAGTCATTTATCAACAAAAAATTTTTAAAAATTGCAATTACTAGATTACATATATATCTAAAAAGCTACTCACCTGAAGTATTTCACTGTTGAGGAAAAGAAAGAGAAAAGATATTAATTTTAACAAAATGTTCCTCCACGTATCAAATAATATTATGTTTGATGACTATTCTGTGTTTCTAAATCATTTTACCTGGTATACTACCTTTCCCATCTGTTCCCTTTACTTACAAATAAATGTCAATACTTCAAACTATGATTATAATGATTGTTCTGATACACTTAAGTAACTGTAAATCCTTTATCAGATGTTATCTAATAATTTATTTTGGATACCTGACATTTCCAATCACAATAAAACTTATGTTCTAAAACCTTAAATAAAACTACTTCAATTCTACTTACATGTAGGGAATCCTGTGACCTTATGCTTACTGGCTTAACTAAGACACTTACATGTAGGGAATCCTGTGACCTTATATTTTCTAAGCCTAAACTACTTACATGTGGGGAATCCTGTGACCTTACACTTTCTCACTAAACCTAAACTACTTACATGTGGGGAATCCTGTGACCTTATACTTTCTAAGCCTAAACTACTTACATGTGGGGAATCCTGTGACCTTATACTTTCTAAGCCTAAACTACTTACATGTGGGGAATCCTGTGACCTTATACTTGTTGGTCAGGTCTCTCTCCTGTGTGGCATCAACTGCTGCCAGGACTCCATTTATCTGAAGAATATGAGGAAGAGTAAACAAAATACTTAAATATTACAAGCATTACTGGCTGCAGTAAAATAACATATAGTTACTGTTGTGGATGATTACTTGTCACTGAAGTATATGATTATGTAATTGTCTCTTTTTCATAGGACTTGTTCGTTATTTTTTTCTTATTCACAATGCAAATCAAGCTCAAAAGTAAACCTGTAAAACATGAATGTCCTCAGGGCTCAAAATATCCACCAGCCATACTTGCCTGGCCTGGTGTGGGGCATGTAGATTTTCAGACTTGCTTGCCCGACAGTGCAAGTGCTGAAAATTGTTTACGTCAAGCTCTGGTGCTAAACTAAAAACAAATTACTTAAAGCTTGACATTAATGCAGTATATGTATCTCAGTAAAATCCAAATTCGCTCATGACTTTCTATCAGGGGAAAAAGAACTCACATTCTGTTCCTTGAGTTTCTGTGCTGCCTCACCATATGCTGGCTTCATTGCTTTGCAGTGACCACACCCTGGAAGAAAAACAAATCTATATCATTCCCACATTCGCAACACGTTACCTAAAGAGGTGATATCTTTCTACAGTCCCCATATTTACCACCAAATACAACAGGGTCAAGAAGAGATTTCACAATATGTATCATATCCCCACTGCCCCGCTACTGCAGTCTTTCCACTATACTTACAAGGTGCATAAAACATGACCAGCACCGAGGGGTTCTCTTTCACAAAGGCCTCAAAAGTCCCACTGGTCAGGTGGTTCAGGTTCTCGGCACCCGCCACATCTGCCCACTGCTCCTCTGGGGTCTGTTGAGGGGGAGGGGGAGGGGTGCTGCCCTCGGGGTTGTTAGGGTCCTTCATAAAGTTCACAAAATCTGCTTCCTTAAAAAGAAAAAAAAGCACGGTTTGTATTGTTATAATCAATCTTGTAAGGTACATGGCACAACTTTCAATATTCTTATTTATACTTTTTTGGATGGATCACGGTTAAGAACGACAAGGACTACAGACAAATCTCCACAATCTTTAAATAAATACTTATAAGTATGCAAAATATTATTCAAGATCTCCAAATAAGATCATAATATAGAGCTTTTCTTCCTTCAAATGCTAAAAATGAGATTAATACACTTCATTTTGATCCACCATCTTTGGACCAAGGTCTCTATTGTTATTTGGTCTCTAGGTCAAGAAGATCTCTATTATAACATTTAAGTCTCTGTATTATTAAAACCAGTGCCAAAACTTTAGGGGGCAGTTAGAAATTCCTGAAATCAGGCATAATCCTTAAAACTTTTACCCATGCTTTCATACAAAAATAACTGGACATTTGGCCAAGGTGTCTTTGTGTTCAAGGTAAATAAAAAACTGGCATTTGATTCCAAAGTGTACAACTTGCATCGATCCCTCAAAAAACGTCCCTCTTACCTCTCTTCCACCTTGATACTGCTGTGGGTTTTTCCCATAGTTGTAATACTTAAATGTAGGGTATCCACTGACATCGTTGGCTGTGCACAAACTTTGGTATTTAGTACAGTCTACAGCAGCATAGGCAATCTGGAAGAACAAAGTCTTTTTAGTACAGCATTTCAGTATAAAACTAGCCTTTAGTACAGTCCACATTTTCTGACCTATACTTACAATCTAATCAAAATCTGTCCAAAACATTTAAAGTGAGGTTGACTAATAACAAACTAGCAATTATTTAAGTAATTTCAAATCTACTTGAATACAAGGTATAACCAGGGACAAGCCACGTGCCTTAGGATCATCCTTGTAGATCTCGGCAGCATTGGTGTAGTGAGGTTTGGCTTTTTTACAATGGCCACACCAAGGCGCATAAAACATCACCAACGTATGCTTCTTTTTCTTCATGAACGGTTTAAAGGTTTCTTCAGTTAGGAAGTTGACATGAATGTCCTCTTGTTCACTCCACTCAGCCTCTGGGGGAGGCGGGGGAGGGGGCTCTTTTGGACTGGAGGAACAAATACACGTGAACTGTATCACTATGATATCAATAAATAACAGCAATGTGAAATGTTTACCTTGTAATTCATAAATGCAACTTACACCAGTCTATCACTGCAGTAAAAATAAAATAAATGATCTTATCTGACTCACATCATTTTAAGTCTAACTTGTGCTAAGACCAGATGCTGTTTCATTTTTAATTTTCAAGGTAAAACATTTACGTTGCAGTAAAGACAAGTTTAGTCTAGGTCAGTAGTGTTTAACTCTAGTTTACTTAGAAATAACTGATAAAAATAACGACTAGTAGTTCAGTACAGTGGTGTTCAGTATCACTTACTCTTTCATAAATTCCACCAATTTGTCAGCTGTTCTTTCATTAAAATCAAAGGCATATTCTCCATCTCTGAAATTCAAGATTTTTTAAATGTGCAGAAATCATTTTGAATACAGAGCTTTGATAAGGGGTGATCCCTCACAGTATAATAATAAAAATATCTTTAAAATTTACTTGCTGTCATTTCTAATTTCCAAGACTATTTACTTAAGATCAAACTATCATCATTAATGCTTGGTTACACTGGAAGCAATTTTTTCCAAAACACAGAATATATGAGAACTAGATATATATTTTATATAAGATAAGTTTAACTGACAACTGTGGAACTGACCTCCACAATATGCATTTGTACACGTAAGTAGTAAAAGTACAGTAATAATTCAAATATATTCATAGAAAATAGGCACTGTGAAGTCCCTGACATGACTACAAATTGACAACAAACTGATAAGAAAAAAAAAAAAAAAAAAAGAAAGAAAACAGTCCACAGCCTGCTACCACTCACTTGAAATATTTGACTGTTGGGAAACCTTGTACTTTTAATGTCTCTGCAGCTTTTCGTTCCTTTGTGGCATCAACTGCAGCCAATATACCCTCAACCTAGGGCATAAATTCAAACATGGATCACAAACAATAAAGTTAATTAAACAGTCAATATATTTCTTTATTCACTTCATGAAGAAAGTGTTTTCAAACAAGGAAATGCATATCTGTGGAAAAATGTTTACAAGAATCTTGCAAAAGCACAGAAGTAGGCAACCGAAACCATGTATAAAACCTAATTAAAAAAGATGAGCTCAAAAGAAAGAAACAAATGAAACAACTTTAACACAGAATATTTCTAACAGGCAAACAGAGATCAATTTAAGGAATGTTTTACAAAACTACAACACCAAGGTCAGATATTAGCAGACTGAGTGGTTCCTCACCCCTTCTTCCTTCAGCTGAGCTGCAGCTTGGACATACTCTGGTTTCATCTTCTTGCAGTGACCACACCCTGGGAGAACAATTTAGTCTTAATCAATATTCTTCATAGTGAGTATTTTTAATTGAATTAATTAACTGATAGAAATTTCCATTGGTGAAATTATGCATACAAAATGGCATCATAAATGAACAGCTGAGAAATAGTAGAGCTGCAAACAATGAGGACCGTGTACCAGCATACAGAAAAATTCAATTAGTGCCCTATACATGATCTTAAAGTGTATAAATTGTGAAAATATGTCAAGACACATCAATACAGCTTATGTTAAATGAATTAACACCTTCAGAATCAGGGTGCCTTCATGTACTGTACACAATAAAAGCCTTGGGAGACAGGGTCCAATTACTTACAGGGAGCATAAAACATCACCAGGACAGAGGGGTGATCCTTCACGTATTCATCAAAGTTACTATCCTGTAAGTGCACCACTTCTGTCTCCTCATCTGCCCACTCAGCTTCCTTCTCTGGTTCCTTTGGTGGCTCTGGGCTAAAGAATTAGACCACTTTAATACAACTTTCTACATTGTATTCACTGCTATAAAAATTTAGATAATTGGTGTTAACTAAGACTGCTAAATCTGGATAGCTGAATTTGTAAATTTTTGGATTGATGGTCTGAGAGTATTTTTATGAACTATAGACACACACTGCAATTCAATTCCCAGTGACAATAGCTTCTTTGTTAAAAGGCTTACAAAATGAGGTATTATGTGTATTTATTATTCTTCTTAAAATGTAATTGATTCAGCTAGAATTTGTTCTGTTCATGAGTTACTGAATTAGTGTGGAAGTTCTTACTTTTTCATCCAACTAATTATTCCTTCTTTGTTGTTTTGTCCGCCATAATTGTATTTCTTCTTACCATTCCTGATAGAGAGAGAGGAATGCCATAAAAATATCAATTTCAGAGATACCAGTGATGTCCATAAATGTTCGTTATGCTATGACCATTCAAAACTATCTGGCTGATTCCAATATCAGATAATTAAAATAAAGATTTTACTGGTCTGGAGATATACTTTTGATAATGTCTCAATCTACTTGAGTGATAACTTTGATTATTTTTAGACATGCAATTGATCTAAAACTACATATATTTCCCTTTTTAACTTTTTTTAATCGGACTTACAAAATTTATAATGAAGATGATTTTGCATCCTCATGTCAGCACCATCTTGTCATAGAATATGATACACCAGTGACCAGCAGAATCCATTGTGATGGGGCCTGGCCTTGTCCTTGTTATAATCTTTGTAAGTCCAGTAAATTTTTTTCATCAAAATTAATTGCACAGTATACTAACTAAGCCATATGTTCTCTTTAACTTACTCAAAGTAAACAATGGTAGGAAATCCAGTGATATTGTACTCTTGTCTCACTGGCATCATTTCTGGTTTATCAACATCCATTCCAACTAACACCTGAAAAGAGACCAAAATATATAATAAATATAATGAAAACATTAAGGTTGCCAATGCACACATTTTGTCTGTCCATTAAGAAATATTACCATAGGCACAGCGGCTCACAGTGACGTTTTTAGCTGGAGCCAAAAATGACTTCTATGTTCAAATACTATGAGAAACCCTTCATGTTCCTCTTAGTACTTTTAATTAAAAGGACATTATTGAAATTTTTCAAACATTTATTAAATTTTCACTTTGAGTGAAAATAAACAGTTAAGGAGTCAAACAATCGTCAGCTGACCATGAGCTTAACCTTGTTCTTGACCTTGACCTTCAAACCAACCTCAATGACCCTGACACACTTACAGAATGTCCCTTTAGTTCTGTGGCAGCAGCAGCATAGTCTGGCTTTAATCTTTTACAGAACCCACACCAAGGTGCATAAAACATCACCAGTATAGGCTTCTTTTCTTTGGATAAAAGTTTATTTAGTGCCTGAAAAATAGATGATGTAAGCAGTGATAACAGGTTTTTGCTTTTAACTGTTTAAGCGTTGAATTTTGTTTTTACATTTTGTGTCACAAACCATGTCTAAAAACTGAAAAACTAAAAATATAACAATTTGTTTTCTTAAATATTAAAATTTGGTTAAAAAACTACCAATTATATCAAACTGTTTAGTCTTGTAAAACATTTACTAGTACCCAGCTATTACTTCTGACTTTAATGAGCTATTCCTGCAATTCTATCATTTTACAATCAATTCAGTTTTACTCTCTCTCTCTCTCTCTCTCTCTCTCTCTCTCTCTCAGGATCACATTTGTTAAGGTACAGACTGAATTAAAAAAAGTGATCATGAGAGAAACAGAGAGATCAGACTTACCCCTGGGTTCTCTAAATGTGTCACATCTTCAGCTGAGCTGTCCTCAACCCAGGGCAGGTCTCCTGTGGGATCTTGTAAGAAACTCACCATGGACTAAACAAAACAATCATAATAAAATATGATTAAAAAAATTCAGTTGAATAATATGTACTTGCAGCATTAAAACAAAGCCTTGAAAAATACAGAGATCCAAATATGAAAACATAAAGAAAATGAAGTAGAGTATTTAATAATGGCTACTGAGGCAAAATCATATTGTACTCTGTACACAAAACTGACCTTTATTTTACATAGTAGCAGTTTCTGATGGTACTTAACAATAAGCCCCCCCCCCCCCAAAAAAAATAGAATTAACTCAGACAGCAAAAGAAAACAAAAGATCCAAAGCCTACCTTTACTACCTCCTTCCTGTCATAGTCTTTATTAAATTCTCCATCTCTGAAAGACATTGGTATAACTTTAAAAACACACAGTTCTGTTCAAAATTCACTGAGCATTTTCTTCATTTCAGTTTTCTGGGATACAGTGTGCACAATACATGATTTAAGCCATTCTTTTAAAAAACTTGTGAACTTTAAGGAGTAATATATAATGCATTCTTAAGCCTTATCCAACCTATCAATGAATCTTCCTTTAGTAATATACATCTAACAGAGAGATGAAATGTGCTCTTAATTGTTTTATGTGCTTACAGGCCCTGCACGCACACGCACTTGCATGCACACACATGTATATACTCACTTGTAATGTTTTAGCTCCACTGGTGATGGGGAAATTTTGAACTTTTTACATAATTTTTTGGCTTCACTATAAACAAAGAAAACAGAAAATTTCACTAATTGCATTTTGCACATACCAAAGTCAATATCAAGAAGATACTGCATAATTTAAGTGGTCAGGGTTATAAATGAACTAAATGTACTTTCTTCTTAGGAGTGCAACCCCTTTGGAGATATTTTATATTAAGTCAGTTGTACAAAGGAAGTGACTAAGTTACCTGCAGTCTACTGTGATCACAGTGGCTTTTCCTTTCATCTCCAAGGCAACCTCAGAGAGTAAACTTTTCTTACTAGATAAAGCTTTTTCTGGAGAGCAAAAAGCACAATAATTTTTATAGATAAGCAACCAATCAAAAAAAAATTTTTTTTTTGACAGCTAAGTATCTTTTCCAGGGTTTGCACTAAGTTTGCGATGACCTGTATGTTCACCATAACCATGGCAACAGCTGACAATGAGGAATGTAGTTCCTTTGATAAATATAATTCAACCACAGTTTATGATTTCAGAAATAATCTGTCTATAGTGACTCAAGTCTATTCACTTGCAAATGTGCATTTGAAAGGAAAACCACATATCTGCCTTACAATGAATGGCATATTTGCAATCACCATATAATAAATACTGGTAAGCATACTTTATTAATGAAATCCAATCAAAAGAAAACTTATTTTCTAAAAACACAATGACTCACCTGTTTTTCCAAATGCAACCAAGACATTGGTCCTGGTCTTTAATAATTTTTTAAACTCCTTCACATCATCTACGTCTATAATAAGATCTCCCCCTTTTTTCTTAGCCAGCAGTGAAGAGGGAATTTGACACTGAAAAGAGATAAAAATGACAGTCACACTCTTTCAGTATCACTTACAATTTACATGTGGTGATATCCATGTGCACGCCTCAAATGTTGTCATGATTTTTTCAACATTTATCTATACTACAATAATATAAAAATCTTATAATAAGTAAAAGCTATTTTGCTTTAATACATTTTTGAGTCATCAAATTCCATAGGGTAGGTACAATCTTTCTTTTGGCACATAGAAACGCCAGCGTGATATAATATAAGCTACTGTACATCAAACCTGTAATCACCAGTATAATTAATAACGCACCGGATGCATATTATGCAAATCGAGAGGGTTCGTTTAACTGATCAAATGCAGCCATTTATTGAGTTCTACCCTTTCAATTACAATTCCCAAACACTAACAACAAACCAGCTTTAAAATATCAATGCCCTACTAGTAGATGTGGTATTTTATAATCTACTGACACGTTTCTATAACCCAGATATCGCTGAAGATAAACTGATAAGACGACATCTGAGTTCATTTTCACTGTGCACCGGCGCCTACAACACGGAGAATATCAAGTTTCTACGTTGCAAACAAAATATCTAAAGGATGATATATAAAGCAGATATATCTGAAAATATCAACCCATGTAATCTTACATGATAAACAAGTTTGGTCAAAATCGATCGTAAAGAAGGTATGGAAAAACTTACCAAAATCAGCGCAAGTAAGAAAACCAACGTGTGCATCCACTCCATTTTGCCACGTTATTGAAAGTACTTCCGGTTTAGCTGTCCTCTTTTCCTGCAGCATTTTCATCGCATCTCAACTAACACAATTACACGCCGTGAAAGATAGTGGTTCCTCCAAACTGCAAATTTAAGCACATCAGAATTACAAACATTGTTTAGAATCACATTTTCAAACGTCTGCTTTATTTTCAATTTTTAGGTCGAATAATGTATATGTCATCCATAGCAATGACACGCTCCTAATACGTGCGTCATCACTCCTATATCAGAAAAGCTACTTATAGTGCATGAATTTCACGCCAGGCTTCCAACAACATACATTTTATATTAACCTTGCAACAGGAATACTGCGTTTTTAGAAAAAATCAAATTCAGCAGTCTGTATTTCAGTTTTCAAATGTGTTTCTGATCAGTTACCAAGTTAAAACTAGTATGGTTTATCTATTTCAAAGCTCATTTAATAAAGCATAAAGAATACAACAAATTTCTTTTTAGTTACACATTTTCTTTTATTGGACATTTAAAAAATTAAAGACAAGTACAATGATCTGTACAATAAGAATGATAAGAAGTTGGTTTCAGCCTTAAGCATGTCTGTAACTTTTATCTGCAGTCCTACAGACAGCTGATAACCAGAAGAATCTGACAATACATAATGAGGGCTTTGTCATCAAAGGTCCTTTGGGAAATTACACAACTCTCTATCTATATTCATTGTAATGTTACAGTCATCACTGCCTCCATAAATTAGGTATCTCATTCAAGTTTCTCCTTTTGTGTCAAACTGTGGTAACAGTAATTATCCCAGTCCTATGAATGCTTTATCTGTGCTCAATCTTCTTTTAGGAGCCCCTGAAATCAGATAAAATGTTAATTATCAGCTACTACCCATTTACAAAGTGGAACCCAACCTGATAACTTCTGAATGCAATATCAAGATATACAAAATGGGATATAGCTTTATGTACATATTTTTGTGTCCTTTTAGTGCACCTTGGGCATTTTCCCAAATATGACATATCTTTTAATGTCAAAAAAGTTTTAATAAATTTCTCCTTATGTATAACTAAATTCATTTCCAAATTGTCTTACACCTCATATTTTTCCAATATTTTGTTAAAGTAACTTTTTTTGTAATTCAAAGATATATTCTTTCTTACATAAACTAGATTGAACTTCCCACAAGTATTAAATCATCCTGTACAACTAAGAAAACAGAACTCTGTGAAATGTGTTTTTTATGCCTCAGCCTTTAAGTAACATATAAATGGTACTTACACAATGATGTTGTTGATGGGGATGTGTATAAGCTTGACAAAGAACCCAATGAAACCCATAATGGCAAATCCTATAGCTGTGGCCATGGCAATCTTCTGAAACTCTACAAATATAAAAACCAGTCAGTTAAATACCAATAGAGTAGATGTTACACCTAAAAATGTCAAGGTTGTTTTATGATTATAATTAACAAAGCACCAAAAAGGGGAGTAACACTGTTACCAGTTTCAAATTTCAGTCTTTCAAAGGACATAAAAACAAACACGTCATCAGACATTCTACTGAACAACTGGTATGAACTCAAATAAGTAAAAAGTACCTTTCTTGAGGTCACTTTATATTTGTTTACAGCTGCTTCAAACTAATGAAATATTGCTTTAGTATCTGTTTACTTTTCAATTGTCTACAATTATCCTTAGCTTTGTTTTACACATCTAGCAGTTAGTCAGCAATACTAACTTAACTTAAAGCAGCAATCATATCAGCAAACTGCTAAATTAAAATGCCTTAAAAATGTGTCTCTCTCTATATTACCTTTCCTGTCTGGCTTTGTACATCTTTTAACCAGTCTGATAGAATCTTTGGCAAACTGCTTGCCTGGCTCAATAAAAGCTGTAACCTGATCCATTTTACCTAAATAAAAAGTTAGACTATGTATGTACTTAGCTGCAATTTGTAATGAATGATTACTATAATTTTTTGTATTATTCTATCGCTATTTATAACTACTTCTGAATCCAACATACAACTCATCAAAATTTCACTGTATATTGAGAGAGAGAGAGAGAGAGAGGGGCTTAAATACAGCACGTGGAAACAAAAATCAGAAGGGAAAAATTGAGGCAAGCACTAAAAAGTTTTTGCAAATATCTGAATTACCAACGACACGTCATCTTTTCTCATAAGAATCAATGTATCTTTCCAATGTGTTTTGAAATGTTGGCCACATTGGTCAAAACAAATCTTTAAAAAACACGTTTCACCTTGAAACGGAGTTAAAAGCTATTTCAAGGAGTTGAATATTGCTTATTTGTTGAATCTGTATTGAAACAGAAACGCTTCTTGCGATTTACGTACCTGATTTTTCAAGGAATATGCACTCTGCTTTCAACTGCGTTTGCCACGAAGCCGGATGTGCCGAAAGAGAAGCAGTTACGCACTCAACGTGACGCTTTATTGTGATTGGCCTGAATAGAGAGCAAATTCTTCTACAAAAGAGGAAGGAATGTGGTTACTGCAAACGCTGCCCTCTTGTGGCACGATATGGGAGTTAATGACATGGTGGCTATGTCACGGGACATTTTGCTATACATTTCCAAGCCGTGACTCAATAAATATAGTCATGCGGCGCTCAATTATTCCCTGCTGTTAACCAGGCACTGGTGAAATCTTAAAGACTGGGGCAGGTCTTTCACAGGTAAAATTTTAAAAATCACTAGCCACTGACATCTAAAATTGTTTGACAATCATTTAATTATCTTTGACTTTGTGTTGTCTTACATGCAGGGTGCACACAGAGCCTCAAAGACTTGAAATTTAAAGCACAGACAGTTTCATATATGAATAAACCATCTGAATTTTTGAGTTATCTCATTTAGAAAGTTATTCAAATTTTAGTGCATCTCTAGCACATAAACCTTTAATATTTAACTTGAATAAATTTTGTTATTCAAACACATCAACAATCCTATGATGGTACACGTACAGTACTGTGAGCATTTATGATAAGCAACGTATTTATAAAGATTTTTTTTTTGTAGACTGAATTAAAGAGAGCACCCTGCAAAGAATATTGATTTAATTCTTATTATAAATATTTCAATCCATTTTATAAACAAATATTTTGCTGTTATATCTACCTTTGAGTCTGTTGAAGAAATGTTTGGATATTCCTCAGTAGGTATGTTGTTTTTTACAGGAACAATGGCAGATGAACGTTCACCTCTCCTCAGTACAAAATCTCCAGAATTCTCTGCCATCAACTCCTCGGGTCCTGTGGCTATAAACGAGACACATGAGGTCCATGCAGAAGTTCATGTGTATAAGAGGAGATGGTGGATAGTACTGGTCTTCTCGCTGGTGGCTATGACCCAGGCTGCCCAGTACAATACCTACGGCCCTATAGCAGATAGCTGCAAGCATGCATTTAACTGGAGTGATGGGGAGGTGGCCTTGCTTACCACCTGGGGGCTGGTCACCTTTGCTGTCAGCATGCTGCCCTTTGCCTGGATACTGGATGTGAAAGGTAAGGGATGAAGGTCACTAGATGTGAAAGGTTTGGGTTACCAGATGTGAAAAGAAAAGGGGCTGATCAAAGGTCACTACATGTGAAGTGTAAGGTGTGAAGGGCACTGGATGTGAAGGGGAAATGTTGGAGGTCACCATTGTGAAAAGAGCACCATATGCACTTGGGATTTTGATTTAAATTAAGTCATTTTGTTTAAATCCCAGTTCTGTTATTTAAATAAAAAATACTAAAGATAAGCACTGACGACAATTTAAATAGTTAGAAATTTGCAGTTAAGTGTTGCTCACAGTAACACAAATTTAATGCTTATAACTAACACATACTTGTTACATTCACAGGTATATGTGCATTTTTCAGGACTCCGTGTGGCAACACTGTTGACAATTACCTTAATGTTGATAAGTGCAATACTGAAGTGTATTCCTGTCATGCCTCCCTTGCTCACCTGGTAAAACTTTACTCCTCTGCCTTCTCCCTGTCCCTCTCTCCCTCTCTCTCCCTCTCTCTCTCTCTCTCTCTGACATTTCTCATGTCAATTTTGTTCGATTACATTTTCTGTCACAGTTCTTACTCTGGACTTTTTATACACTTAACTGATTAAATTCAATACAAAATTGGAAGTGATTTCCAGACTTGTAGATAAATGTAAATTTGTAATTTTGTTTAGGAAATGAGTAATTTATTTTGAAAAAAGTGTTTTTCATAAAAAAATGTTATTATGGACCAAAACACATACTTTAAGAGTGGCAACACTTATGACATTGATCAAGTTAAACCATTATTTATAAGTTGAATTATTATATAATGAATAAAAATACTACCTACACAGTATTTTTTCTTCACTACCCAGGTTGGCCAATCTAGGTCAGATCTTTGCTGGTCTTGGAGGTCCTGTGTGTATGTCTGCTCCTCCCTTGTTGTCCAGTCACTGGTTTCCTCCCCACCAGAGGGCGACAGCTACTGCTATCATGGCCAACTCGGGCTGGATGGGACTGGCAGTGTCCTTTCTCTTAGGTGAGTGATGTACAAAGGCATGTGCCCAAGGCATCGCTTTTAGATATTTAATAAATGTAAACCTTTCAGTGTGTAGTGCTCACATATGGTTACATCTAACAAATAATTTCAATGTTCCCCATTGGAGGCATTCTGGTAGTGAAGGCAAGTAAGTTTCCAGTAATGGCTGAAACTCAAAGATGTGCATTTAATTAATTGATTTCAAGTATGATTCTTAGAGTGATAGAAAACATTTTAGAAAATAAGATCATAATAAGTGAATACAAAATGGCTGATTTCCAGTTCCACATTTAGATGATAATAGACATTTTCAACATAGCAAGACACAGGGGCGGATTGAGGCGGTCCTCTGGGTCTTCTGGAAAACGGTCAAATTTCTAAGTTTACATTGATGAGTACCTATTTTTTTCTGTCGGAAGACAGTCAAAAAATGGAGGATGGATCAACAAAGATAATGTGGAAGACTGTCAGAAATATCTCTGGATCCGCCCCTGAGACATACATGTAGTTTAGGGGTGAAATTAATATATTAAACAGTTTTCAGTTTTAAAAATTTTCTGTTTTAAACAAAGAGACAGGTGTGTTGGATACACCTCGGTCACAAAATCTCTGGACTTGCGGTTTCTGTAGGTCCTTTAGCATAATTCCTCTAGCATAATTTTGGCACAACATAGTTTACTAGCACAAGTGTCACATTTTCTAATCATCATGTTCTGGTAAAAATGCACTTTTTCTAGGTCCTCGGCTGGTCAGTGAGCACAACATGACAGGACTGAATATCTCAGTGCAGAGATTATATGCAGCACAGGAGAGGAATGATATCAGGTTTTTCATGTATTTGGGTAAGCTATTATGTCCTGCATGACTAAGTCAATTTTTTGCACTTCAAGCAAAGCTGGGCAAACTTGTTCAGAGAAAGTACTCATAAAATTTGAGTGAAAATTGATTAAGTACATGTATCCCTTTTGAAACAATAAAGTAAGTGAATAAAAGGAAAAATTAACATATGTGTATAGAAATAATATAAAATTTTAAAAATAATGTGATATTAAATAAAGAGACTATGGACCAGGTAAGAAACTGTGTGTTTTATGACAACTCTCATTGAAAAAATATTGAGTTGTAGAAATGTACAGAATAAGTGGTATTGAAAATTGTCATTGAATGTCACAAGGTCAGAGCCCTATTCAAAAATAAAAGAAAAGTATGAATTAAGTGTTATGGATGTGTCCATTGTCATCCTGCTGATTACTTAATGAGTTCCCAATAAAAATTATATGTAAAATTCCTCTTTTTTATGCAGTAATTCTGTGAAAGTTAATGTACATTTAAACTTTCATTAGAAACAAAATATCAAAAATCAACCATAATGACTGGAACTGCAGTTTGAATACTGTTGTTATAAAGTTAAAGTATGAAGGACATCTAATTGAGATAGTTATGTTTTCTGTTCTATTATTTTACTTACAAAAGTAGCATGTTGTTAAGTCTCTTGATCCACACCTACTTCCAGAAGGTGGCTGGACTGCTCTGCTGTTTCTGGCTGTACTGGTCTATTTCCCTAACTCTCCTCCCAAGCCGCCCAGCAAGTCAGCTGCGGTGGAGAGACTGGATTTCAAAGATGGACTGCGACAGCTGGTCAGGTGGGTCAATGCGGCGCAGGTAAAATAGGTCTGTTAGTTGTAGAATCAGTCTTCTTAATATTATCTATTGACTTCTTATAAACCAGTGCCACATCTGCAGTAGGTTCTTTTTTTAAAAAACATGTTCTTGAAGTGAGAAGCATTAATATTTGATATCAGTTACAGAAACTGAGAGGGCTGCTGTGATCTAGCCACCATTTTTCTGTTATAAACAACCCAAGTCCTGGGTGTTAGGCTAAGCAACCTTAGTGTACTTGCGTATCATCATCGTAAATTAATCCCTATCTATGTACAAGTATACATCATCATAGTAAAAAGTAATGTACTTGTACCAAAACTTAATAGATAAGTACATGTAAATAAATAAAGAACAGTGGTTCATCTAGATCATAGGAAAAGTTAATAGAACTTGTAGCCCTTCAACTTTTATGCCTAAATTTTAAAGTTGTGTTACAGTAATGATTTAAGTGATTTTTTGCTCTGTTTTCAGACACCGTAGGCTGTGGCTTGTTGGTCTGTCCTTTTCCATTGCTCTAGGAGTATTTAATGCATGGAACACAATGCTAGATGTCAACCTCAATGGTTTGCTTGGAATTTCACAGGTAAAATGCATTCAATTTGATAATACAGTGGTCATACTAATTCTGCATCAGAGGAAGCGAAGTACTGGTGAATCTCCCTTCAGGTAGTTAACCTATGAATTAAGTTCTAAAATTTTTCCAGTACTGCATCTGCTTTCCTTTCTGTTAATACTGACTTTCTGTTAGCACTTACTGTATTCCTTACATCCTTTTTCAGTAAATGTCACAATTTACTTGCTTGCCTATATTGCTTGCCTTAATTAACTGAAACATCCCATTGTAAAACTTGACAATAGCATTACACAATTTGACTAACTAAATGGGAATTTATAAATACTGTAGCATGGTAACAAGATGTGAATAATAACACTATCACTATTAAACTTCCTAATCATGTTTCATGCGTGCATGTGTGCTATTATTTATGTTGTACACAACAACACAGAGTACTCCAAACGATATTCGGAACTTATCAACAGAGATATAAGTAATTTTCACATTTGTTCAATATTTTCATGCTGCTTTACAGCAATCACCAGCTGCAGGTGTTATGTACATATGTAAATACATAAAACTTCTAACATTTTCTTATTATCATTCTTATATCATATTTCAGCAGATCAAATGATCTCGATGCCAATTCTAACCTTTCCTTCTGAAATCACAAATACATATAAATAGGAAATAGGCATAAATACAATTAATATATTATGAAGATGTAAATATGATGTACAGAAATAATATTATTGCTTCTACCCGTGCACTGGAGTTTGAAGCTTGTGATGTACAGTTAATCATAATCATTTATAGATAAACAAATAAACAGCTATATGTCTCAGTGGAGACTTTCTGATTTTGTGTGGCAAATGTCATATTTATGTAAGAATTTTAACAAAGATATTCTCATTAAAGACTCACTGATTTGTCTGACAAAGTTCATAATAAATAAGAATTTACACAAATAAATTCTCATTATTGACTTTTACATATTCAGAAAGAGATTTTTTCTAATTAACATTTAATACTTATTTTGCCAGAGAAAGGCCATGTTGATACATGGATAATATCAATAATACATGTACGAAATTTTCAAGTTTTTATCATATGCCCAAAATGACATCCTGAATTGGCTGATGGCCATCTTGTTTCTTTGTCTAGTGACATCATGTAGTCTCATGTCAGGTCTTAATTAAACCTGGAGGGAGCTCATCTATGAACTAAATGTTAAATTTATAAAGAAACTTTAATGCCAACCAGGCCCTTTTTTAGTGTTTTCTCATTTCCTTCTTCATATACATTGGTGAAAACGTAAACATGGTCTTTGGCTCTCCTTTGCCCTTGAAATAATTTACCACTGAGGTACCTACTCAGTCATGTTGTCATGTGATATCATTGCAGCCTTTTGACCCCTTTTTTTTTTTTCAAATATGAAAGGGCTGGGGTATCCTAGTCTTATGCCATGTTTTGTCATTTTTTTCTATAACTGAAGGATATTAAGTTTTGTTCTATGCATTACTAGCACAACAGCAGATGCTCTTTAATTCTATTCTAAAAAGTGATCCAAATATGCCATAGACAATGAAGTTCAGTGAGGAGCTTACTGCATTGAACACCCCAACCAAGAATATGGCAACAGGAGACACACTTGGACCTGTCTGTGGAAAAACAGATTTGACCTGTATTGCCAAATTCAGTGATGCGTTTATCATCATGAATACTGCAATAACTGTTACAATAGTCAGCATTTCCCTATTAAGTTTCTTGCGTTCTGCTACTTGAGCTGCATTGAAGATATGAATATGTACTTTGGAATATTCAAACAGTTTCTTGAATGCCTTGATAGTGTAATATATAAACATTCCCACTGGCAGCAAACCAGAAATTGGGATTTCTAAAGCAATTCGGATTAAAACTGAGTATGTCTTCCAGAATGGTTCCTGTTTTAGAAGCAGCATTGGACAGTGATCTGCATCTTTGCACTGGTCAAGTTTCAAATGATCTACATCAAACAATTTAAGAGCATTGAATATTAAGAGTCCAGTGATCACCACAGATAATGGAAACAGCTTTTCTCTCCTGGTCAGTGGTATTTTGTTTTTTATACTGTTCAGTTTTTTGACAGAGCAGAAACGCTCTTTGGAGACTAGTGCAGCTATGTACATCTGTAGTGTCATGAAAAAATAGGTTGCAACCTGTATTCCAACAATACTTTTCTCTAATCCGGTAGTTCTTGCTTCTTTATAATAAAGGTAGGTTGTCAGAATGATAGATTGTAAGGCACGGAGAACCAGAAATATATTGTCATTGATTGCTAAGATAAAAAGTAGGTACGAAGTCCTGTTGTACTCGATGCTTTTGTAAAAAACAGCAAGCACAAGAGAATTCAGAGTAATTCCTACAACTGCAGTCAGAAAAATTATGGCATTTGCTGTCCATAAATAATAATTGTACTCTGGGGAAATATCTAGCAGTTCGGTGCCATTTGCCAAAGTTGCATTAAGTTCTGCCATTTGTTCAGTCTCAAGTTTTTATCATTATCATTAGCCTCTTCTAATCACTTCACTAGAGGTATATTCAACTTTTTACAGGATGAGATATTTCATGAACTCATACCAGAAGTTGACTTTTTGTCTGCTCTTTCTAAGATCCTTTCACTGGAAACAGCCTTTTTTTTTTTTACTTCATTTTTTCCATATGAAAGGAAATTGGTGATGCTAAACTAAGAAGCTTATATATATATATATATATGGACACTGTACCTATAGTCTGTTCCTTTAAATTCCTTTGTTTAATGTCTCTGTGTATATGATATATATCATCTTTGTTGTCAAGTCAAAATTTAAACTCGCACAGTGTTCCAAGGCAAATGTCATTGATCAACACTGCTTGAGCTCTGTGATCTTATTCCAGGACTGACAAAACCCAAACATGAACTCGGGGGGGGGGGGGGGGGGGGACCTAGAAAATACATATAATATTGTCAGTCTTCTTATAATGTACAGTATAAGGCAAGTCTGTATTCTAGGACAAAACTTGATAACTAATACCCATACACACCTGAAAAGACCTGTGTTCCACATTCGTTTTCAAGGAGCTCTTACTTGGCATACGTCTGCAGTACTACTCGACGTGGGTCACAAGGTAGTTCAATTCAAATAACTATCCAATCACTCAAGGTGCTAGACATTTATTTCCTTGAAGATGCCTTGGTCATTAACACCATAATGGCAGAAAAGCTTGAATTTAAAGCTGTTAATATTTGGTTTGAATTTATATGTTATTAGTGCCAACCGCGTAGATTGACTTTTTACCAAAATTCTGCAAAAAAAAAAAGAAATTGTAATTTTCTGTGAAAAGATTTTTATGCCATTTTTAAGAAAGTACATGGACCTAAACTTTGGTATTATGGGGAGGAGTCATACATGGGGTCTCCTTTCATCTGTGTGTGTTTGGGGTCAATTGGTATATTTTCATTGGAGAACCCTCTGAATCTGTAACCGTAAAGGCTAGAAATTTCGTTTGTTGAGTTTTGTAGAGCATTTCAAGTGCAATACTGGTGGTGTTGTCAATCAGAATGATCAATGGTGAAGATAAAGTGTGAAATACTCATAAATTTACCCTTTTCCCTTCTCTTCCCGAACACATTGCAACTACATATTTAACAAAACTCTACTTCCCCACATCTAACACAAAACCATCTATACCTTCCTTTCAGCTTACTAGCACGTACTCCAGCTGGTGGTACAGTACCAAGGGGCATTAATGCCTCTTAAGTCTTTGATCCTCTAGTTCAGTATGCTTACAAAATAACAATTTTCCAACAATTGTGGTCAAATTTTTATGAAATATTGAGTAGGAGAGCAAGTAACAGATTTTAATGATGGTCACTAAATGGGGTAGTACTACACTTGCATAGCATAATCATCTCACCAATGCATAGATGTAGCTGTGTGCACAGTTGCATACTTATTTAAATGAGTTTACAAAAAAATAAAAAACTGAGGGTTATTAGTAGCACAGAAAAATGGCAGAAAAAAAAACTATTTCAATGCCATTTTTCAGAAAATATGAAACAATGTCCTTTTGTTTTTATCGGAGTTCTATTATGTGAAACTATAAGGTGGCACATGGTCCGGTTTTGCAGCAAAAAAATTGAATTCAAATGCATCTTTTACTTTTTTTAAGGAAACTTTCATTAGTAACTTGAAGGGATAACAACTCTTTGTATGAGATATATATTTTACATTATAATAAAATTGTAAACAACTCGTACAGATAATATATAGTCTGTTTTACCATCCTCCAAAGATGGCTATGCTCCATAATAATTTCCGAAGAGATTATTACAAAAAAAAAACTTTTTAGAAAAAACCAGGGACTAATTTTGAATGTAGAAATTGGTAAGGATGGTAAAATTGTCATATACCCCAGGAAAAAACCTTTTTTTGGTCAAAATGAACAGATGATATTCTTTTAATATTAATAACTTGATCTTCCTCACTCCAGACAGAGGCAGGGAGCCTGGCTTGCTATGCTGTCATAGGAGGTGCTGTGTTTGGATTCTTCTTAGCAGTGTAAGTAAAATGTCACATTTCTGGTAAGTAGCAGTGGAATTGTCATTAATTTGCAACTATGGTGGAAAGACTGCTTAATTTTTGTTCAACAGAAAAAATGCTGTTGTAGATAGTTTATGTCACTGCAGTTTAGGTAGATTTTTTTTTCAGAAAAGTTTTTAAAAAGTTAAGAACACACTACATATTCAGAAATTCCATAAAATACCAATTGTAGCACTGTAGTGATTGGTTAGTATGTTTTTTTTTTCCTTTTAAAAGGTTCGCTGATGTGTTCTCGGGTCACCTCCGCCTCATGCTGCTGGTGCTGTTCACCCTGGGTGTCGGGTTTATCACCTGGTTCTGTATTCTCTGTGATGGTTTTATCCCTTTCTCCTCTGGTAAAAAATTAAAACATGAGTGGCAGGGTGCTGTTAATTTTTTTTTTTTTTTTTTTTTTTTTTTTTTTTTAAACTGTAATCATCTGAATGCAAAAACAAAAATATGTAAACTGCACAGCTCTCTTGTCGCCCTCATTCCAAGCAATTGAAACTTATTGAAACTCTACTGGTAATCTAAAATGGATGTGTGCGCATTAGTACTTGTATGACATTAAACAGTTTTATTTTATTCAGCAAAGAGTCACCCTATTGAATCTTGAACTCTTAAAACTGTTTGTTTATTTCAGTGAGCCTATACCTATCCTGTATAGTAGGGGGAACCTTTGTCAGTGCCAGTGTGCCATTGTTCTACGAGCTGGCGTGTGAGACCACCTATCCAATAGCTGAGGGGATCACGGGAGGGTTCATCAGCTGGTTGCTCAATATATGTGGAATCCCCTTCCTGATAGTGACCATGATACCTAATTTGAGTAAGCAGCTATTGAGTAGATATCGAGAAATAAAAAGAAAGATCTTGACATAAATGGGCAGCGATGCTTTTAAGAAGTAATGAGCACTGATATATATAGTACACAGATATGTGTAATTAAAAAGAAATATCTTCAATATGATAGCCTTGGTGTGTGTCCAGAAAAATGTAGGTTTGTAGTGATGTGCTGGGACGGGTTTAATTTTTTATTCCAATATTGAAATTTACTTTTTTTGGCAGAATAAGTCATTCATCAATATTGATGATGATGGTATTTAATCTGCTAATGTTTAGTTATTCATTAAGTCGATGAAATAAGTGTAAGAAATAAGCAGAACATTTCAGATTTGATTTCCATCAGGGTAAACACATTCACAAATGAAGACAGAAGAGCTTGAGAGAGGTGGGGAATTAACAGTATATTATTAGAATAACCAATTTGAAAGAAATATGAGTGCATCATAAATTAATGTATTTGATGATTGAATTCCAGGTCAGTTTTGGATGAACTGGGCCTTCCTTGCCGCCATTATCTTGCCCATTCCTTTGCTGTTGCTGTTCAAAGAGAAGTACACAAGACTGACCCTTGACGACAGTGAGGACACGGACACAGACATCCAGAAAGCCTCAGTCCCAGTCATAACATAGAACTGATGTAATGCCCAGTAATTTGAAAGGAATTGTGCAGATACATGTAATGCTGTGCAACCAAAAGGCAGTATTTTGGTGTGGCATGCATTGTGGCTTGCATTGTACTAGTATAGCTTGTCTTATTTGTAAAATCCTAATGCTCATTACTAAGTGTTATGAAAGCTTTTCCAAAAGCTTCAGGTTAATTATCAGAAGGATTACTATCCATTCTTTGTTAATGCACAAGTAGTGCAGGTGCTTCCTATGTTTTTCCCCCTATGTGGTTAAATTTCACAAGTTTGGCCAACTTGAAGCAAGTGATAATTTGTTGCTGCATTAGTATTTACTTGTTCTTGAATAATCAGTATTGAAGCTGATTGTGTTAAGTACAAATCTGCAATATCATGTGGTAAAATGGTCTTACTAAACAAAATTAATAAGCTAACAGCACGAAAAAAATACAACACGTACACAACTTTTTCTACCTCACTACTGAGATGCTTGGTCAAATGTGTACTGAAAGACTGCAGGTCAGTTTTTTTAAGAACCCAAGAAACGAAGTATAGCAGGAAAATTCTGCAATTAACAAAGATATGTTGCATTCACTAATTTTATATGCATTTATGTACACCATTATCACAATACTTTTTCATGCTATTACCATAAGGTAATGTAAGGTTATTTAAATTACTACTTGAAATCCATACTCAATATTTCATATGAGTTTATGAACTAATTCCTGGTAGCCTATTTTATTTTTCAAAGACTTTCAAGTCTTATAAATCCAATAAAATATTCCCCGTAAAAAGGGGCTTGATAAGAGCTGATATATATGAGTCAGTGCCAGTAACTCTCATTTTAGCTGTTGTTTTAATGGAACTGTTATTTTCAATTATGAATTCACTCTCCAAAATAAAAGTTACAATGAAAGTGATTGTCAATAAGGTAAAAGAACAGGTTTATTTAAAATTCCATTTGTATGAACTTTTTGTGTATTTCATGCTTTACTTTACTTTGGAAGGTTGTGTTTCAATAGCTCCGCTTAGAAATTCAATATCTCATCAGATGCGGTCTTTTTAAAAAATTAAATAATGGTTCACTGTTAGGTGTAAGTGGTCATTTTGCAATAAGTTGTTTTCTATATATACACAGGTAATTGTGAAGGTGGTGTTTATGATTGTTTTGGTGTGTCCAAAAAGTGGATATCAAATGAAAGTGGTGGCGCAAAAAATGTCACCGACTGTTAGAGAAGCTAGATCCATTTTAGATTTATTTGTGCCAAACTATCTGACATGATTCATTGTAAATTCTGCATGCATTCAATGCTTTACTCTGACTAAATTTTGAAAAAAAAAGTGTTCCCGGCCTGGCGATGTTATTCTTATGCTTGAATCTGTTTATTTGATCGTGTGAAAATAGGTTTAAATCCTTTTACATGTAGCAAATAGTGATCAGTTTGCAATGTATACTGTATACACCGATTGATTGTACAAACGAAGCACGTGGAGTGTGCCACGTTTAACAGATTATTAATTGGTTTATTACCTGAGAGTGGCTGAGTGATGAAGTCAAAAAAGATCACTGTACAAAATGCAGGCCCGTAGCCAGGGGGGTTCAAAAGAACCCCCCCTTTTTGCTGGAAAAAGGTCCACTCTGTGTAAAATTCGACCTAGGTACATGGGGATTATATGGTTAAAGGTGCACTTTTTCAGAAAAAGACCCCCCCCCCCTTTGAAATTGCTGGCTACGGGCCTGAAATGGGTAACGCCTGTGAATATCTATAGTGAAGAACAATCTGTGGTCCTCTTAGAGGATAAGGTGTCCTTTGGAAAAAAATCGCATTCAATTATTTGTTTTATAGCATAATTGATACACTAGTAGGTGAAACAGTATGGAAATCATACAAGTCTTCCAGGTATTACATAAAGATATTGCACTTCTCATGGTATACATTGTGATGTGCATGTTTCCGAAATTTTATTTAAAGAATCTGGTAGAGGGTAGTAAAGGGCTATCCTCTACCAGGGCCACAGGTTGACTTTTCAATAGACATAAACAGTTATCTCTACTGGAAAAATAGATGGCTAGGCCTACTCTCTGTACTGTGCCTCAGCAAAAATGTCCACAGAATAATAACTGCTGCCCTGGTAGAGGGTAGTCAAGGGGGAAATGTACGTTCTAAAGACGTTCTACCGCGTTTAAACTCCCCAACCCAAAATTTTACTTGCGCATAAGATGGTGCAGAAGACCCATACACATCAACTAACTCGGCATGTATGTCCTTACCAGTTTTACCTTTCAAATGCAAGTACCGAATATTACAGCACGGTACTCCATTTTTGATGAAAAGCTTGCTTTTACATCACTAGCCATGTTTGACATTCAATATCAGGCCTACCCAACTACCAGACTCGGCACCTAAGGATCCTGAATTAACCGGTATATCGGACCACACTACCCGTTTTCAAGGTGTGTGTCAGATCGCATTTCGGAGTATCAGCCAGAACACCGACAGGATGAGCCCTGGCATGCTCGGCTGTCACTTTGATTGGATAGTAAACGATTGTCGTAAAATCGCTATATGATTTTAAAACCGGGCGCATAAATTTGAAAGCCACCTAGATGAACCTTAGACTACCACATTAATCTAATACAATGCAAAAAAGCCCTATCAAAAGTGGTTAAAACATTCAAACCGAATGTCGTAAAGTCCCCATATACCCCCATAGAGACAATAAAATATAGTACTCTAAAGTAAGAGTACAGTTTCAGGTTGTTCAGCCGAGCGTGGATGAGCCCGCAGCCGTGCTACAAAATTTGTTCTGGGGTATGATACTCCGAAATGCGATCTTACACACACCTTGAAAACGGGTAGCGTGGTCCGAAATACCGGTTAATTCAGGATCCTTAGGTGCCGAGTCTGGTAGTTGGGTAGGCCTGAATATCTGACAAACAAATGACCGTATTCATGTGTAGTTTTGTACCCAGGTACAATACATGTATTGAAACAATGCGTGAAAATCGTGGATGTCTCGGTTGATCGGAGATGTGTTAGGCTGGTTATATATTGACTCGCCCTCGTACTCAAACTGTTTATTAGTTTGACCCCCAGAGATACAGCGCCCTCTGCTCCACCACCCAGTCAATTATATACACAGGTAAGGACAGGAGTGAACCGTATGATCTTATCTGTCGCGAGTGCTCGCTCACTATCCCACGTGCTGTGCACGTTTCCCGTCCTTGTTGGTCAGTAGTGTCCTGCCAGAATGCTAAATCAAAGACATGCACATGTCGTCGTACCAACTCGTATTTTACGGTAGTAGACGGAAAGGGTTGCAAGAGAGGGGGTGGGGCAGATATCCAGTAACATTAATGAATGTGCCTTGTTTATTTTTTAAATTGATGAGGGCTGTTTTTTCGTCATCGGGATCAAATAATAGATTCTAGACTCTAAATAAATAAATAATTATTATTAACAGTTTCTATTATTATTATTATTATTATTATTATTATTATTATTATTATTATAAAGAGAGACTATAGCAATCTGTGGGTCTGGACTTCTCGGCAAACCGATATCGTAGGATGTTCCGTGTTTCATTCGTTTGAATCTAGGATTCAAAGCAGCATTAATATTTCGGATCCTAGGTTGAATATGATGGACTTTGATATTTTTACCCGTCCCCCATCAAACCTCATGTAATCCATGTGACTGGTGAACCGTATCCTTATCTTAGTAGCATTTGGGTTTACTTACACAGTTGTGCAAAGATAAGGTGGATTTGATATGAAGGAGTACGCCTGCCCCTACTTTAGGCCTTTTTAATTATTTGATTTACACACCAGCTTCCAAACGGCTATAATGCCACAATTTTTGATCTACCACTTTATTTCAATATAAATGGTTGTAGCTATTTGCGGCCTTCAGGCTCTTTTTTGATGGAGTGTAAATGTTGAATTTATCCGATTCATTTTTGTTCGATTTATTTTTCGGCCATTTTTTATCACAGCAACAAATGGTAATTTCATTCGTTTCGGTCGTTTAGAAACTCATTCATTACGTTTTTGTCCTGATTTACCCGTAATTCAAGTGATTATCAAAATGGCCTGAGTCGGTGACAAAGGAGGCGTACACCCATTGAGATAGCAGAAGACGTATTTACAACAATGGCGATGACCAAAACGTCCCTAGCTCTGATTATAGCTACGGTATGCATGTTTTTGGATAATGTCAATGGGTCTAAAATTCTGCTTTACCCTTACGCTCACGTGTACAATTCTCGACTCCTAAATATGATGAAAATTGGGCAAATGATGTCTGCGCGGAATCACAGTGTAACGATGTTGGTAGCTGGCAACGTGGGTCCTGTCTTAGACAAGGTACCGAAGGAGATCCATGTCAAAAAAATTAAATCTCACCATCCCACCGCTCAACCTGTCTGGTGAAATGCTTATCCACAAGGTGAGGACAAATGCCTTTTATTTTGTGCCGCAGTGGCTGGAATACGGCAGAGAGATGATGGACGCACTTTTTGGAGACAAATCACTACTGGGAGAACTAAGGTCAGAAAAATATGACCTCATGTTTCTTGACATCATAGCCCCCGAGGGCTTACTGTTAATGGATTATTTGAACATTCCCAGTGTTGGGTATTCTAATTTTGGATTTGACAATAACTGGGACATCAGTCCACCCATAAATCCTTCCTACATGCCGGACGCATTTTCGGCTTACTCAGAATACATGACATTTTGGGAACGATTAATCAATACTGTTAGTATAACTACAATGAACTTGATGAAAATACAATATCAGTCGCCTTGTGATGAGGCGAAGGTAAAATACAATCTTAACACTTCACTCTCCCTGGAAAGTGTGTTCACAAGATTGTCGCTGCTGATAGTAAATATTGATTTCGTCTTTGACTACCCTCGGCCCGTCTTCCCTTGGGTAAAACCCGTGTCAGGCGTTCTTTTCCATTCTCCAAAACCCTTGCCTAAAGAACTTGATCAGTTCGTGGAATCCTCGGGAGACGCAGGGTTCATCATCTTGAGTTTCGGAACGTTGATACCTGAGCTTACGGCGGAAACAGCAGCAATGGTGGCCAGGGTTTTTGCGCGACTTCCCCAAAAGGTTATATGGCGAAACATTAACTCTAACATCTCTGGACTAGGAAATAACACAAAAGTGTTGCCATGGATACCACAAAATGACCTCTTGGGTCACCCCAAAGCAAGACTCTTCATTACTCATTGCGGTGTAAGCAGCTCGCACGAGGTTCTGTATCACGGGGTTCCTGTTGTTGCTGTTCCGCTCTTTGTGGATCAATTTGGTCACGCAAGAAAGTTAGTTGAACGTCTCGGTATGGGGGAAGAACTGGACTTCTTTAATTTCACCGAGTCTGCCTTTTCTGGCACTGTTCTAAATGTTTTAAACAACCCTAAATATTTTAAGAACGCTAAGCGTGCTGCAGCTACTGTTCGAGATCAGCCGATGGATGGGAAAGAGGCTCTGATGTTTTGGGTCGAGTATGCCATCAGGAACAACGGAAGTCTACATTTTCATTCTCAGGGGATGGAGAGACTTAGTTGGTACCAGTATCTGCTGCTCGATGTTGTTAGCGTCCTTTTCAGCACTGTTGTTACTGTTGTTGTTTTGGTATACCTTATTTGTAAATTGGTATGCCGACATGTCACGAAAAAATGGTTTCCATCAAAAAGAAAAAACAAAACCGAATAGGCCATCTGTTGAGAAATGCCTTGCTTTTTCATTATTATTCCTTCAAGACTGATGAGTGTAATGTTTTGTTAACGTTTGTTCCATGTCCTTGTGTACCTATTAAGTAAATAACAATTCATAATTGTAAGAATTTCCTTTTTAGTCTTTGAAGAAGCATTTAAAGTCAAATTTTGCAACAAAATCTGACCAAACGCCATCATATAGTTTCAAATAATTATAACTTGCAGTAATACCAAAAGACTTCGTTTCATATTTCCGGAAAAAAGGATATATGAAAGGATTTTGCTGCTTTCTTTCTGTGCCTAAAATAAACCTCAGCCATCTCTTTAAATAAGTATGCATTGCGCCTGCAGCCATACATGGGAGTAAGAGTGAGGATAATGCAATCCGCGCGCTGTGCTACGTCATTTAGCCGATTCTACCCCACCCCCGGAAACCCCCCCCCCCCGGAACCCCCCCTCCCCAAGACAATTCTCCCTGGGAATTCCCCCCCCCCAGACAACCCCTTATCCCAGCATAGAAAAACACAGCCTTTCAATGATCTTTTATACATTGCACATATTAAATTAACTGCATATTTTACTGAATATAAGAAAGAAGACAGAAAATGAAGTAAAAACAAGGATTGGCTATTAATTATAAGATTCAGGAGGCTCACTTGCGCACTTAAACAGACCTGAGAGGCAATCTTAAATTTTAGATGCTATGATGCAAATTTTGCAAATTTGCCATTACATGTCACTTTTTAATCAAACAAATACTTCCATTTTATAAATTTTTCTAAAAGTAAGAAAAATTAATTTTATCTACAGGGGTACCTTTCACTTGATGTTAGTGAGTCTTCTGAATAACAGGTTAAGTTAACAATAGGAATAATGAAACTAGACAAAGAAAACAAGTTCGGGGTCAAGTTTTTTTCCACGAATTTATCGCTGAACATTACGAAAATGTGCACAGAATAGCCAAAGAAATATCTGTAATTATCTAGTGATTACCGTGTACAATTTTCTGTGTGGCTCTGGTAGAGGGTACGGTTGCACTATGCCCACTCTTATTGCTCGCTTAATATAATAGGTTATCAGTGTGTCCTCCAGTGCCTTCTGCTCCACCCCTAGTCAATTTTTAAACAGGTACAAACAGGAGCGTACTCTACGATGGTCTGCCGCAAGTCCTCTCTCATAACCCCACGTGGTGTTCATGCATTTCGTGTTTCTCTGTGTCTTGTCTAAATGTTAAGCCAAAGACATGTAGAGTGTAAATGGCTAGCGGTTAAACTGGCAAAGAGGCCATTCAGAATAAGAAGAGCCAAGTGCTAGCTAGGCCACGACCTAAATATGGCGGACCTACATAAAAGGAAGACTGCTTAATCCTGTAATGGTCTCTCCGCCTCTCACACGGCTCCTCACGCGTCGTCTCTCGACCGGTTGAATTAAGCCGAGATTTAATTACTCTTCCCCTGCAGGGACGGCGCGTGGGGAGGCGTGTGAGAGGCGGAGAGACCATTACAGGATTAAGCGGTCTTACTTTCACGTAGGTCCGCCATATTTAGGTCGTGGCCTAGCTAGCACTTGGCTCTTCTCATTCTGAATGGCCTCAAATAAAAGCGGGCGAAAAGATCGAGGTGCAAGGGAAGGGTGAGGAAGGAGACGAGCCTATTTGGATTGTGGTATTTCATTCGTAGCCTGATTGTGCCTGTGATATTTTTGAAGAAGTAAGAGCTGATTATTGTCATCGGGGATCATTTAAAAAGAGGCAAGCGATCAGCGGGCCTGGTCTTTCAGGGGAACCGGTATTGTAGAAATTTAATTATTTGTTTGAATATTATGGACTTCGATTTTTTACTCGTTTCTCATCTACCCCGATATAATAGGTGACTGATAAACCGTAGGTTTATCTTGGCAGGGGCGTACATATACATGTAGCTAGATGTTGCAAAAGAAGACAGTCACAACAATGGCGATGGCCAAAACATCACTAACTTTGATTATAGCTACGGTTTGCATGTTTTTGGAGAATGTCAATGGGTCTAAAATTCTGCTTTACCCTTACGCTCACGTGTACAATTCTCGACTCCTAAATATGATGAAAATCGGACAAATGATGTTTGCGCGGAATCACAGCGTAACGATGTTGGTAGCTGGCAACGTGGGTCCTGTCTTAGACAAGGTACCGAAGGAGATCCATGTCAAAAAAATAAATCTCACCATCCCACCGTTCAACCTGTCGGGTGAAATGCTTATCCACAAGGTGAGGACAAATGCCTTTTATTTTGTGCCGCAGTGGCTAGACTACGCCAAAGAGATGATGGACGCACTTTTTGGGGACAAAACACTTCTAGGAGAACTAAGGTCAGAAAAATATGACCTCATGTTTCTTGACATCATAGCCCCCGAGGGCTTACTTTTAATGGATTATTTAAACATTCCTAGTGTTGGGTATTCTAATTTTGGACTTGACAACAACTGGGACGTCAGTCCACCTAACAACCCTTCGTACATGCCGAACGCGTTATCGGCTTTCTCAGAACAAATGACATTTTGGGAACGATTAGTCAATACTGTCAGCATAACTGCAATGAACTTAATGAAAAAATGGACTATGACGCCATGCTACGAGGCGAAGGTCAAATACAATCTTAACACTTCACTATCAATAGAGAGTGCGTATACGAGATTGTCGTTACTGATTGTGAATTCCGATTTCGTCTTTGACTACCCTCGACCAGTCTTCCCTTGGGTAAAACCCGTGTCAGGCGTTCTTTTCCACCCTCCAAAACCCTTGCCTAAAGAACTTGATCAGTTCGTGGAATCATCGGGAGACGCAGGCTTCGTCATCTTGAGTTTTGGAACGCTGATACCTGAGCTCACGGCGGAAACAGCAGCAATGGTGGCCAGGGTTTTTGCGCGACTTCCCCAAAAGGTTATATGGCGAAACACTATTACTAACATCTCTGGACTAGGACATAACACAAAAGTGTTGCCATGGATACCACAAAATGACCTCTTGGGTCACCCCAAAGCCAGACTCTTCATTACTCATTGCGGTGTAAGCAGCTCGCACGAGGTTCTGTATCACGGGGTTCCTGTTGTTGCTGTTCCGCTCTTTGTGGATCAATTTGGTCACGCAAGAAAGTTAGTTGAACGTCTCGGTATGGGGGAAGAACTAGACTTCTTTAATTTCACCGAGTCTGCCTTTTCTGGCACTGTTCTAAATGTTTTAAACAACCCTAAATATTTTAAGAACGCTAAGCGTGCTGCAGCTACTGTTCGAGATCAGCCGATGGATGGGAAGGAGGCACTGATGTTTTGGGTCGAGTATGCCATCAGGAACAACGGAAGTCTACATTTTCATTCTCAGGGGATGGAGAGACTTAGTTGGTACCAGTATCTGCTACTCGATGTTGTTGGCGTCCTTTTCAGCACTGTTGTTACTGTTGTTGCTTTGATATACTTTTCATGTAAGGCGATATACCGATATATCTCGAAAATATGGCCTCTATCAAAAAGAAAAAACAAAACCGAATAGTTGGACATCAATTTTTTTCATCAAAACTGAATAGAGCAATGTTTTGCTGAAGTGTTTCACATTGTCGCCTATGAAATGAATATTAATATAAAATGAATATTATATAACTGTTAGAATTCCCTTTATGTATTTTTACTTCTTAAACTTAAATATGCAGTTGAAGTGAGGTGACATGTTTAAAATCATTGCCGCTTTCCTTGTCCAAATGTCGCCATACGGTTTCCAATAGCCTATATTAAACATAAGTAGAAATACCAAAGTGTATCGTTTTATAAATCCCGAAAAATATTTGAACAGATATTTTTTCTGTGCCATATATAAGACTCGGTTGTTTTTGGCCAACTTTTGAATAATCATACTATGTGCGCCAAACAGTGATGCGTCATACATTACTACGGCATTTGGTGGAAAAGTACGCACTGGAGGGACCCATAAATAGGTCAAATTTACGTCCAGAATTTTGGAGAAGGTGCATTAAAAAATTTTTTTGACTGACCAATTTGGCTGACCAATAAATTAATTTGGTTTATTTTTTTGGCATGTGGACTATATTGGAGTCAAATAAGCAACTAGTATTAATGATATATATTCATCACAGGGAATCTATGCTCGCTTCAATATTGCTAGACGATAGCCGAAAGTATTAATATTATAGTCATGTACCTGTGTTATGGACTTAGGTGCATATGCAGTAGACATATAACATCTCTGAGGAAACTTGATCCTTTAGATTAGAAAAGATAGTGATAATGTATTAAATAAACAAAATCTTCACAAATAGTTCCAATTTGGTTGCTTTTATTTCTTGGGGGAAAAAATAAAGCAATCGTAAATTGTGTGTTTGAAGACTAAAATATTTTTTTTTAACATTCTATAGCTCTATAGGAGAGCAGTTGGTAAAAGACATGGCTGACGTTCCATCCTTTTCTCCTTACATCACCAGATGTATCATGATTTACATTTATTTCAGATGTTTTCATAGGAGTTCTTTCTGCTGTTGTATCCCTTTCCATTTATTTTTTAACAACCTTTTCTAAAATTGCTTGTGGGAATTTGTATCTAAACAAACTGGTATAAAGCACCTTGGGATTTGGCGTCATTTCATCAAGTGCTGTTCTGCACCGTGGAAATATACAGGCCATACATTGGACCCATGCAATACGTAGGCAGAACATATTTGAAAGAAAGAGGAATTGTTAATACAGAACTGAACACATAATTCTGTTTTCTCTTCTTAATTTTGAAGTCACACAAGAACAAAAGCTTTTTTAAAATCTGATCAACTGATAAGTTGTGATGACCGTATTTCTTTTTGCATTGTTGTTTTCATCCAATCCCACTATATAACTCTTAATATCTGTGCTGTTCAGTTTCATTTAGCATCCCAATTTCCTATTTAACTAAACCATGTAAATACCTAGCTTTGAACATCTGAAATGCGACTGGATTGTAATCTTTATATTCTGTCTTGTTCAGCATCGCCCTCTTTGGGAGGATCTTCCTATACATTCTACAGCTGTCTATCCAAGCTATGTTCTTTACGCCTTCCTGGTTCTCAAAGTCCAGCGTATTCAGCTGAAAGTTTACGAAATGGAACACTATCCCGTTGGTGTGGGTGCAGTTTACACTAATTGGTTTCGGCAGGACTTTCACATCCTCCTAAAATGAGATACTGTGAACATTAAATTTATGATCCAGACAAGTAACAATATTTTTCTGGCTATACATGAGCTTAAAATATTTTTGTCAGCAAACAAATGTTCTGTTTAATTTCTATTCAGTGAGGGTGAAAAATATGTATTCCAGCATGGCTTCTTGTACATTCAACAGTGACATCATCCTTTACGCCACTTTTCCTTTAAAAAAAGAAGCATTTCTTCCAAACTCTGCCAGCGAACATTCAACTTTATTGCATTATATATCACAGTGTTCTAGCTTACCCCATACAGTTTCTTTGCCTGTGTCAAACAATGTGCCAGACAGAACATGATAGCCCTGGCATTCCTCCTGTCATTGGGCCAGGTGTCATTGTTCAGGAACACAAAGTTGTGAACATGTGGAAACTGGTATTCTGGTGTCCAACCTGCATCAACAGAATAAAGAGCATTTTAGAAAAATAAATACCAATATAAATGTTATTTTAATGTTATAAATGATATAAATTCAGACAAAATGTTTCCAAGCTTGGAATCCAAAAATTACACCCAAGTACTTGGTAACTGAGATCACTGAAAGAAGCAACACAAGTCAGAAATATTCAGTATAAGTCAAGTGACTAAACTACTACTAAAGCATACTTAACAAAACTGCCCTTCATATTTTAAGACTCCACTCAAATACTTCATATTATATCAAATCTTACTGAGAAACTGAAAACATTTTACCGTTACAAGTATCCTCTCTCCAAACATTGTGTAGTTTAACATCTATGAGAGGTGACATGGGATAAAAATCTGGCAAAACGATCGCCTTGCTACTGTCAATCATAGCCTCATCAGCAAACAATGGGAGGGGCTTATTTGAGGAGATCATGTGATCTGAGTGGGCCAATACATGAATGGGAACTCCTGGAAATAAAAATATAACTAAGATTTTATTTTATAGGTATTTATTCCTCCTTAGTATAAATTTGAATTATTTTGCTTATATTCTGTATAATAACGTTGCATACCCTTCTTCTTTTCTCTTTAATAACACCATGTATAAATCAACACTGTTCAAACAAACAAAATATTCAGTATGTACTTGAGCACATAGTTTATGAAATTGACTATACCACATCGTACTTAGCCATGCCAACTATATTAATGATAAGTTTACCTTGCGTATTGAAATGAGTCCAAGTGACATGGTCATGTGTATGTCTACGCTCTGTTAAAACCTGTGGATACTCTTCGACAGCAATCATGTCACACAGTCGTATCAGGTTCTCCACAAGAGTTCTCCTAAAAATACAAAAATTATGTAGAAGTGAATAAACTGCATATTAAAATATAACCAGTCAGAATTCACGATGTATATTTAGGTAGAACTCCTCGTGCTGTATCGATTACTTATACTGTATACGTAGTGGTTTTCAACAACAAAAGACTCGCTATGCATGAATGCATGTTACACCTTGCCTGGGTCATTTCTTCTTGTCTTGATATAGATCAGATATACCAGTCATCAGCAAGGTGTATGTGACATCCAATTAAGCTTTGCATTCATTTGTATCACATATGCTTTTGTCAGTGACTGGTGGTGTACCTATTATGTAAATATTTTCCACTATTTAACTAGTTTAACCTAGTTATTTGTAATATTATGTGTTATTACAATAATAATAATAATAATAATAATATACTCAGTTGTGACAAGCCAGGAATGTGTCATATCCAGGGATAGGGCAAATTAATGCCCCACGCCCCTCAATCTCCCAATTCAGTCCTCATCATTTCACACAAATCTAGCAATTTGCTAAACCTTCTTTCACATTTTTTAAATGATGCAAGTTTTCCAAAGAGGGAAGCACCCCATGTGCCCCCTCATATCAAAGTAGAAGTGTTGGCATACATCATTAGCCCCATGGTGATCCCAGTCTCTGGCTTGTACTTCCAACCAGGGAGCCTGAAGTTAATTCTCTTAGGCAGCTTGTACGTGGCGGGGTTCCATACATTGGCCTGCATGATATACCGCTGAATTAGCTCATCCTGTGAAACAACAGTTGTAACATTACTGACAGAGCCACATTACAATTTGATGGAACACTACCAAGCCATATAACATACGTGTAAGTCATATTAATTCAATGAAATCACAGAAGTACATCACCAAGCTCAATTTACAAACACTCAGGTCTATTTCTAAACTCTATAATTTGGCAAATTATTTCAAAATGATGAAAAGTCACAGTACAAGGATACAAAGATAATTTTTTTTGTGTCAATAATTAGAGGGTTGATTTATTGGTTCAGATTCAGCTCTAAAACTGATTTACACTTTTTAATATTTTTTCTTCAGTCCAATGTTTACAGAACTTTTCCCATTCATTCAGTGAACTCCATAAAAATGTTTCCTTCATTGTTTTTCTGATTCTGTAGGGAGCAGTCATTACCTGTAAAGGATGATCCACTTTCCCGATAAGATCAGCTAATGGTTTTGGCTGACCCTCTATTACCTGTGTTTTAGTCAGTGTCTTTATTTGTTTTGTTCCTAAAATAACAAAATACCTGATACTATAAGGCATTAACACGAACAATGCAAAATGAATATGACCTGTGTCAAGAAATATTGTCATAAAATTCTGTTAATCTGTGACAGAGACGCTGTCACCTCTCTGACTAGGAGAGTGACGAAGCTGAACTTCAAAATCTCACGATTTGCCATGTATATGTACAAACATGTGAAAGGCAGATGATGCAATGTTGTGGTTATCTAAGATTCAAAATAATGAGATTTCTTTAATCCTACCACCAGGTAAACCCAATTATTTGGGGATGATGTGCTCGGTTGTCTATGACATTATCTATGTACATAAATAACCTTTAATTTTCTAACTTAAAGAATGGTTTGGACACTTATCAATAACTAAGATTTTAATCTACAGAGGCCACCACTACAACTGTGGTCCTCATGTGCCCCTATTAAAAGTCATCGTTATTTTTATCTGACTTTTAAAGTTGCACCCTCTGTGGTGCATTGGATGTGTCTCTGCCAGTAAAGACTATTATAACATTTGCTTATATTAAATCCATCTTTGCTACTACAAACCTTCCAGAAGATAAGTGTTTAAATTAAATATGTGGCGTTTCTGCTCATGAAAGTCTGGGTGGTCATTTGGATATGTCGGTTTGCAAAATCTTGGGTCATCTGGGACTGGGAGCGTCCACCTTTTCTTCTCAACAGGGGGCGGCACAGTGGGATCCACCACTTGGATGCCTAAATCAAGGAGAGATCAACATTTTGGCAATTTTCATAAAATTGCTGCATGCAGTCACATATTATTCATTTTAAAAAATACAGTTTCAGGATTATTTTTGGAATTCCCTAATGATATTGCAACAAATTAAGCAAAACAATTTAGAGGGAAATGTTACTACATGTGCATGTGCATGTATTTGTATATAATGCTACTAATTGATTCTGATGAGGGTTTATAACTCTTCCTAAATATTATGCATGGTGGCCAATGGTCAATCGAGACCTTTATAAAACTTACATTCATTAGGTTTAAAGAAACATTAACCAATACATTTTTGAGGTTTTAAGATACATCGACCAAATAATGTGGCAGGAAAATGTGAAGCTAGCTACCTAGCACGAAATTCATGCCTTAGCACTCCTATTGACGATTCTGATATCTGTCTATAATGTGCGTGTTGAGGAGATGAGATGTAAAATAAAAATTTGAGAGCTGCCGCACCGCGGCTGGTTCGGCAACCAGTTTTCATTTCCAACTTTTCGAGGCCTTTGCTTTCATGCGTTGGCACAGACAGTACATATTAGAATCGTCAATAGGAGTGCTAACGCATGAATTTTCGTGCTACTAGCTACCCAGATCTTGTATCCACCGAGGCACGTCAGTAGAAGGTATCTTCAGCTTTCCCTCTCTCTTCCATATTTCCTTCCACCGTCTGCCATAGTGCTGCCTACAAAGACACACCGTCACTCGCATTTTTGGAGTACCTACAATTTAAAATGGTAAACAACAAACTAATGATTATAGTACGAAAAGTCTGCTTTAGCAACACTGAAATTAAATATACTGTAGTCTTATTTATCGTATGAGAGAGAGAGAGGCGTATGGCATCCAATGCCTGCAATGAAACTCTCAAAAAACGAAAAACGAATACAAAGATGGTAAGGAGAACAGTTAACTTACAATAGACACCTGCATATGTTCTTGACAAGCTCAACTTCTTCAAATTCTATTCACAGCCCGTCAACTTCACATGTTCAACTTTGAAGTGAGCTATGACGCGAAGAATGGCAATACATGGATGTTTGAATATGTTTCAAAACGCCGTGAGTTTACACATTCAACATAAAAAAGCAAATATTATATAAATAAGATCAATAAATTGAAACTGAATATTAAAAAGCACCAAAATGAAACAATGTACTAGAACATTTTATCCAAGATTTTACGCGTGTTAACGCTTAACAATCTAATTAATGGCTTCGCCAGTTGACGTGAAAGGTCACCTAGGTTCACTAGCATACATGTTGGGCTGTTTCCTAAAGGTAAGAGTGCCATTACTTGTTTTTTCATCAGATTGTGATTTGTTTTAGCATATATTTTAATAGCAGTTGCACGGAAATCTATGTCATCAATGAATAAGTTTATGAACTGCAACAATCTTGGTGAAAATCGAGGCTTATTGGACTTTGAGCCTGCCTTGACCTTGTTACCGTCCAGAGTAGGCATGATAACTTGACCTAGATATCGCCACAAACAACACTCGAGTCTTTTACGCGTAGCATCTTTAACCAGGCGATGAGCAAGTGAAGCAAGAGCGAGTTATTTGAACGTTATCTCAGGTATTTTACCAAATTAAACTGCTGGTTTTGTGACCAGATAACGTTAATTAGGAGATGCAATAAAGTCTTTAAAAGGACTTTTTAGGGGGACACTAATTGCATCATCATTTGTACATGTTCAGTGTTGTAAACAAACACTTTGCAAAGTGTGCACGCAGTTGTGCCGTTAAAAGGGGGTCAATGTCTGACCTGGGATGGGTTGGTGTCAGTGTGCAAAACACCAGTCCTTATGTAGCTTTACTTTGAGAAACAGAGCCATTGTTTTTAAAACAGTCATTATATATATTTTTTTGTGTGTGAACGGAACAGGGAACGTTGTAGGTATGTGAAGTATGTACTAGTATATAGCTTATGAACTAAGAGCATGCTGACTAGTACTATATATATATATATATATATATATATATATATATATATATATATATATATATATGTATATTTATTGCAGGTAAATATACTGGTAGTGTGATATTTGGACTTTGAACTTCAGTAGATTTTACTGATTTTAATAACTAAATACAACTGTAATATAAACATCTTAAGTTTGGAGCAAAAATGTTAGTTAACAAGAAGGGAAATCCAGCAGCTCAGGTCTGTTATTCACCAGTTGAAACAGCTTACATTTAAGCTGTCTTAAATTTGTACTCAGTTCTTGTCTAGTACTCCTGTTTTGATTACACAGTGGGTATTTTTGTCGATACATTTAATTGTTAGTTGTGTCAGTAGTCATGTGGAGAGAGAGAACACTTGCTTTGCATATTAACCTAGATTATATGTAGCCTTCTTTCTTATTGACTATAAAACTTAGGAAGTGTAGTTGTGTTGCACTTGGTGCAACAAATAAATATATACTATTAAGTATATTGTACCAGTTAATCAAGGCATATTTATGACTAACAAAGTCAGTGTTATACCATTTTTTTTCTAGGCACATCTAGATGAAAAGTGGATCGTTTAGCAGCAAGGGTTAGTCTTTCGGAGAAGAAGGGTAACGCTGTGTCAGTCCCGTCGCCAGTGAACCAGAGATGTCACGTCTGAACATCAGTCTTCTGTCATCCTGTGGCTTTGCCACAAGAAACAAAATCTTCCAGAGGGGTCATCTTCCAGCGCAACTCGTTTGGAGCAAAAGCAATACAAACTGTGTACCTATCCCAAGAAGTGTTGTCCTGAGCAAGGGAATAACATCAGTTGATGCATATAGGCCTGTAGAGATTCCAGTGGGGTATAGGGCTTACAGCAGGAAGGGCAGAATATCTCTGAATCATCAGGAGGAGGAGGAGGTTGACCTTGCCCTCGAGGAGCATCCTGAGGAGGAGCTAGGACTTTTCATGGAGAGGATGAGGGTGGAGGAGGAGGAGGACGCTGCCACCAAACAGAAGCAGGTGCTGCCACAGGTGGCAGATGCTGTGGAAGAAGATAAAAGTTTCTTGGAAGAGTACTTTGCTTGGGGCTTGTCCCAAAATGAAGATGGACAGAATAACCTTGAATATGATTATGACGATGAGCTGGAACATGAGATTGAAATCATGCTGCATATCGATACACACAAAGAAAACAGGAAGCTTGTTGATGCTCTGTGCAAGATGAACCCTTCCTTCAATAAAAACAGAGAGAGGTTGAGCCAACAGGTGGCGGTGCTACTCAGGATAGGGTGTAAAGGGGGAGACATATTGGAATTTTATGAACGTGAACCTGAACTGATAAAAGTGGACACTAAGAGATGGGAAGAGGTGATTGATGCCCTACACTTCACTAAATTCGATTCTTTCCAGATTCTACAGCTGATTGACGACGATATTGATATAATGAAGTATGGACGTGATCACATGTATAACGTTTTTAGTCTGTTGAGGTCATTTGGTATTGACCATTCTAAGATTAACAGTGTTGTCCTGAGATGTCCAGAGCTTCTGACCACACCCACCAAGACCCTCCTGACTAACTTCCACCAGCTTAAGACTATGTTCACCAATAGGCATCAGAGGGTGATCATCTTGCGCAGTCCTGGCGTCATGGTGGCCCAGCCTGAAGACACCAAGGCCATCTATGATTATGTTCTGAATACCATGAAGTTAGAGGTACGTTAGTAGTTTAAGCTACTGGATAAAATATTTATCTTCTATTGGGTACAAGTCCTTTGTTCTGATTTCACTTATGTAGAGATTTTCAGGCCATTTATTCAGGCAGTCAATTAAAATATTTTTACTAGCTTGTAGTACATCAAATCATATCATATATTTTTGATGTTAAATAAAGAAGTGGAAGGCAGTGTCCCAGATTCCATGTTGCTTACAGGTTCATTTAGTAGAAAATGGGAATTAAATGGTAGATGTAAATGTACTGTTAGTCATCATGTGATGTTTTTCTGTTTACTACGAGAAGTATCTAGGTGAATGCCGTGTGTCACGCTATTATGTCCTGCTAAAATAACTGCCATTTATCAAACCATACCTCAATGTAGAAATGTCAGATTATTTATTTATGCAGTTCACGTATCCCACAGGGTCCTCCATTTAACAAGGATGAATTTGTTCTCTTAACACACACATGTACACTTGAGCAGACAAACTTCTTAAATTATTTATAATTTTGCTGTTTATTATACATTTATTTCACATATATTTATTTATGTATTAGTATTTTGTTAATATTTGCAGCTATGCAGATTTGATCAACACAGAAAGATAATCTACATATACTCTGTTAAAAAAATTACTACCCATCAACATTGTCCATTCTGCTGGGCATTGTTGAGCCTTACTCTGAAAGTTAATTCTCTAGTTAACACCACATTCCTACATCTATTTCACTACCAAGTCGACTAGATGTGTAAGGGGCACCTGCTACATTCTTTACATATATAAGTATGTTTAGGATTACTGATTACTTTAGTTTACATTTATATGTTATATATTAAAGACCACTTATTAAACATTACTTTTGATAGATGGAGTATTGAAGGCATATTTCGTATATTTCCAGGTTCAGCATATGCTACATGTAGTTAAATGATCACTCAGTATTTGTAGAAATACTAAATACTTCTTACATTTTTTTTTTGTAAACATATTTGTTATATTTCCAGGTCCATAGTATACTGCCACTTACTAAATTGACCACTCTCTATATTCTAATTACATAAAGTGCACCTGTTTTGATATACTAGTATATCTCTACATATTTGGTGTATTACCAGGTCAAGGATATGCTACTTGGACGTTTGTTTGACCACTCCCTGGACCACGTCCGCAAACGGCACCAGTTTCTCCTGAGGGCAGGCGTGTACCATACACCAGGGAAGGCCACCGTCAGTGAACACCACCATGGCAACCCAAACCTAAAACTGATGCTGGACACTTCTGACCGGGCTTTCTCCGAGGATGTGGCCGGGCTGACCTTTGAGGAGTACAAAGTGTTCTGTAAGATGATGAATGCGGAGTTCGAGGAGGAAAATTTAGAGAGAGATGGAAGTAATGATGGCTCCTCGTAGCAGGGTTGGAAGTTTAGGTGACAAAGACAAGGTGATAATTGGATACCATAATTTTTCTGAGAAGTGGAATTTGATAGCTGAGGGTTTAGGATTTTTCGAACACAGCAGCTTGTTGTTGATGATTTATAATATCGGAGGTGTATTTAGATTAACTTAATTTAATATATATTTTTTTCATTGGATCATCTTATTTTGGTAGAGTAATTCCTTATTACCATGAACAAGGAGTATAGGGCACAAAACACCCTTAAATTTTTTGGTTTAGAGCTGTTCACTTTTTTTCTTTCTTTCTTTTTTTTTTTTTTTTTTTTTTTTATTACTACCTTGTAAAGGTCCATGGAACTGGCTGTGTGATGGGTACTGCACTGAAGACATCTAATATGTTGAGCTTTCAGATACATTTCACACCAGGCTCCGCTAGTCTTGTGTGTTCTAAGGGTGCTTTCCCAGAGATTTAGATCGATCTAAAGATTAAGTTTTAGATCGACCTAACTACCTGGGAGGTCACGCTAAATTGCAGTCAGCCGAGCGGGCACCATAGTTAATTACCCCCTTACAGCTTTTAGTAGGCGGTACAAACGCTTAAGCCGGCCAAGCTGACAGTAATCTAGTGAGACTCCCCACAGGGATAGATCGATCTAAAAATCTATGGAAATGGGGTGTAAAACTGCAAGATTATATAATATAAGTGAAATACTTAATAACAAGGCAAAACTTTGAAAACTGTAAAAAAAGTTCCACAAGTACGCTCATATTGTGACCTAACTTTCTACAGCAATTGCAGGCATGTAGCATTTAACTGCAATTTTTTTTTTTATTTTGAGTTGACTAAAAGCTGGTCTTGTAACAGATATTTCAATACTTAATTGAGATATGAGGAGTGTGTGGCATAGATGCAAGTGGGAATAAAAATGAAAATAAGTTATTAAATAGTTTGGTGGAGGATATGAAAAATTAAAATCACATTGTTTATTTGAGGTGAGAGTAGCACACAGCATGTGAAAAATCAAGAATAAAATTGTGTAAGATTTGTAAAGAAATAGAATATGTGCTGCGATACTTTGTCAGGAAACAGATGCAATGTATTTTTAAATATCCAATTTTTAAGAATCCAATTTTGTGTTCAATGTTCTTTTTAACAGGGTGCAATAACAAAGACATCTGCTATCTGTATTAATTGACATTAAAAGATATGTTTGTACAGGTTTTCCCAATGTTGATAGATTTGATCATGCTATGTAAAACTTGTCTTCTGCTATCTATCCACAGTTTACTTATAATTCAAACTAAAGCCTGCATAATATTGAATGAACATAGCATTGATATTTTATGTTTTTAATTTCTATTATTTTGATTTTTGATCATAAATTGAAAGTCAGTTGAAAATTAAGTCAATTTAAAAAAGACTACTAGTAACTTTCACAATGTTGTATTTGGAATACTATTATAATATTATCTTGCACATAGAAACATATCCAATAGCTTTAATTTTGAATGTCTCTTTGACAATAAAATATTCTTAGTTCAGAATCACAGTACAGTCATGTCTAGGAAAGGAGATAAATGTTCCGTGCATTCTTGGCTGTCACTTTGATTTGGCGCTGAACCTAAAAACCACAAAACGACTTAGGAGTACGTGTCTTCCTGTGTTTAAAAAAATCAATCCGAACCGATTAAATATTTACAAACGGATTAAAAATGAAGTTCTATACACCCCATAGAGTGTCATTGTTTAATAGTAGACTATTGTGCTATTCCTAGGTGGTTTTTTATGGTTTATAGATTCATTGACTTCTTGGTGACAGTGACTGTCAACATATTACACTCAGCGTTTTTTATATTCAAGTCTCTACTTTACCAGGGATGTATTGTATTTTCTCAACCATCAAATTGTAAAGCTAAATTAAGATTCATCTGAATAATTGTGGATGATTTTGGATAATTAAAATTGGATGAATTTTAACGTGCTGTGTGTTTGATTTTGTTTGTTTTTGGGATGCAATTGCAATATTTGAAAAAAAAAGTTGAAAAGCGTTCGCAGAGTGCAGACCTGTCAGAGCAGCTCAATCTTATTATTATTATTATTATTATTATTATTATTATTATCTATAAATCAAGTAATTATTTAACTTAATTCTTCTTGTCATTAATTTATCACTTCAATTCTCATTATTATTTATTTATTTATTTATTAATTTACTAATTTTAAAATAACCAGCAAAATATAGTCCATTTACATTTAACGAATTATCCCGGGGCAATCCCCCCCCCCCTCCGATTAGTCAGCCTTTAATCTTCCTTACCTGACTTTAGTCAGAACTCTTTAACAATAAAAAAAAAGATCAAAACCCGCGCATTAGGGGAGGTTTTTCGCGATACGCCATTCATTCCGT